TCCATCCATCGTCCCCATCCTCCCCCCATCCCTCTCCCAATAAAACCTCTTCCCAAACGCCACCAGCCCCGAACAAGACCGTCTCGCAACAGTCCACACAGCCTCGTAGAACGGCAAATTCGACGACCGCAGCGAGTGCATCACCCGCCGCTCTACATCGCTAGCCCCATCTGCACTGCCGTCGCCAGTAGTAGCAGCTGCGGCGGTTTCAAGCTGCCTGCCTAGTTTCTCCAGTGTCTTTAGCTCAGACGCGACGCTTGATCGGAGGGTCCGCGCTTCCACGACTTGCGGGTTGCGTTGGGTTTGGAGGAGGAGGGACTGGAAGGTGTCCATTTCGGCGATGAGATGGTGGCTTCGGGATATGAGCGACGTTGCTAGTGACTGGCTTGTTTCGGGCGTTGTTGCGGTGGGGTCGGCTTCTTGCGCTGGGGTGTTGGGAGTGGCCATTGTGTCGTTGTAGAGGTTCTTGTTTTTTTTTTTCTTTTGGAGAGGGGTGTTGAGGTGATAGGGTAGCTTTATGCGTGCGTCGCTGTATAAGTATATATTTCTCGTTGCGCTGGTCGCGGGGTTAAGGATGCTAGGATTGAATTATATATAGCGGGGGAATCTCAAATAGCAGCGAGAAGCAGGTGTTGAGTGAGTCATTAGCGGAGTACAGATCTAAACCGATATAAACATCAGGTATCCACAGAATTGAATCGAAGGTTCTTGAAGGGAGATGCAGACAGGCAGGCAGGTAGTTACGGGGTAAGGCTGGCTCTTGAAAAGTGGAAATGTTTATCGTGGGGCAGATGGGCGGCTTCCATACTACTGACGTAGCGCCTCCGCCTTTGCGTCGTCTCCGACTCATGCTGCTTTTATACTTTTACTCTCTTGGTGGGATTCTGTTGGAGAAGAGAAATACGTCAAGGTGCTCGCATCTAAGTGTGTGATTCAAAGTGTGCTGCTGGGATGTAGCGCGTTCTGGGGTCATTTTGGAAAAGAGGAGTCTCGTTCAATCAAAGATAATAAATAAATATTCAGGGAATATAGAACAGCAAAATGAATACCATCTCCACAAGCTACACGAACGAAGAAGAAAGCAAAGAATTGAAAGCGAGAAGAAGACAGGTTCAAAACAGAACACCGGGCCAACGCCGTGACATACATGCCCGCCAGGTATAGCGGTGGCAGCGTCGGAACAGGCCAACAGGTCCAGTTGTATCCAAATGAGCCGACAGGTAAGGGTATCTCCACCCTCGATATCAATACACAGTGGCGTACAGGATGCACCACTAATAATCGCGACTCAAGAAGCCCTCCATCCCCACTGTTAGGATGCCACCTTACGCTTAGTCCTTGCCCGTGAGTCGCTTTCTTTCGCTCGAATTGCGCGGGGACTCATCGTCGTCGGACCACTTGTCACCGTCTTCGCCGACCGCGAAGATGGTCTCACCATCGAGAGACTCGCGCTGGCGGGGGGCAGACGGAACGGGCTTAGGAGGAATAGGGGACAGGTCGCGACGGTGTCCCGAGCCATAGTGGCTCTCCAAGCCACCCATGGGTCCTTCCTCCTCGTCTAAACCGCTGCCGAGGGACCGGATCTCAAATCCGTCATCGTCTTGGGCAAGCTGTAGACAACGTTAGCACAAAATCTTCGACCCAAACTGATTCTAAGGTGGTGGAAACGTACCTCGTCACTCATGGCGAATCGTCGGTTGTTCGCGGTAGGTCGCCACAGGTAGGCCACAAATGCAATATCGAAGAGATACACGATGTTAAGCCAGCCGTCCAGGACGAACCAACGGGTCTTCCAGTGGTCCGGAACGAAGCTGGCATCACTGCGGCCAGCAAAGGAGATCGAGTTGAGGAAGAAGAAACCAAAGATCACAATGATGCTGCCCAGAATGCACCACCAGAGTTTTTTGTACATCATAGCCTTGGTCTTCTGCTTTCGGTCCACCAGATCCTTCATGGTCGCATTCAACGAGTTCAGCGTCCACACATAGAAAGCCGTCAAGGTACCGGCGAGCGGAAGCACAATCAGAAGGACAAGCGGGCCCGCACTATCTGGCGTGATGGACAGACTTGCAACGGCGTAAATGACGGCAAAGACGAAGTGAGCGATCGCGAGGATGCGGACATAGACCATCGTCCGGCCCAGGGAGGGTTTCACGACACCGTAGCCCATGCAGACGATGAGGAGTAGAAAGAACGAAAAGGAGTTCCGTCCGGCGTTGAGAACAGCGACAATCACCATTAGTGCCTTGGCCCCCATATTTAAACCATTCTGGTTTTGGAACTCTGGAGGGGGTCAGCGGCAAACGGACATAGGATGAGAGTTACATTTGACTTACCGTAGAAGCCCCAGGTCATCAACTGTTCGACAATCAAAAAGACGACAATGGCGGTAATGTAGTTTTGCACTGGCACTGCTAATTGTTAGCAACGGGATCGGAAGACCATAGGCGAGCACACCTACAAATATCATGTCGGTTCTGCACATATAGGAAGGCCCAGAAACTACTTCAAGTCAGCATATCCCTGAAAACACCACAAATCCGCTTTGTCTCCCCGGACAGAATACTCACATCCCAATAACCGCGTACACGATCGTCAAGCCCCCATAAAAGGGTAGCTTTGCAATCTGCGCAGCTGGGAGTTCACCATAGGCATTTCTGAATTCCACCACCGCTTTGTAGTCCTGCGGCGAGTAGCCATAAGTGCTCACGCAGTAGAACCCCGTCTTTTTGACCGGGTAGTTGATGGCGGCCGGGTTCTTGAGGTGGACGGCCTTGGTGATAATAGGGAATTTCGAGGCGTCAGTGGCGTTGGCCGCAAGTATGAAGGACCCTATTTGGTCTTCCGTGCAGTATTGCGCTTCCACACTCTTTTCGTCGCAAATGGTCTCTCTCTCCTAGAATATGTGTCAGAAAAACTCATCGCCGACAGTTGTCCCAAGGAAGTCTGCCTACATCGCTATCGTCGGATATGGGGCGTCCGATCAGAGCCTCATCACTCCATTCGAAGATCACCAAGCTAACCAGGGGATCCTTATCGCCAACATCGGCGGCTGGGGCGAATTTCGTCAAAATGAATGGGTCAACTTCACCGCCCCATGCTTTGCGACTATACATTCCCGAGCATCGCTGCCGGTGGGTTTCGTCCTGCGTCTATAAGGCAACAGCGTACCTGTTAGCATGAAGCCGATGAGCTGGGATTCCAAGGAGAGCGCACCAATTCCACTTCGTTCGCAAGCGTTCGTCCTGCCAATAAGGCAGCGAGGCCTAGGGTCTGAAACCAGCCCTTCATTGTTGCTGGTCAATAGGAAATACCCAGACAGTGGTTGTAATAAGTAGGCTCCGGAGGTACCCAGAGGAAAGGTCGATTTACGGATCGTACCTCATAAAGAGGGAGAGCGAAAAGGAGGGAGATCAGGGAAGTATAATAAAGCGCCGTATCAAAGAAACCCTATCCGCGTGGGAGACTAGCGATTAGTTGGCCGTTCCCCTAAGTTTATAAGGATCTTGACTCGGGTAAGAATAGTTCAGGACGGGAAAGCTCAATAGGAACTGGAAGTTAAGATGAAGCGTGGCTGCGAACCGGGGAAGCCGCGTGTAGTAATGGAGGATCCCGCCTTATCTAATACGGCCCGCTGTCACCGCCCAGGCACCAAGGAATGATTTTCTTTTCTTTTCTGCCCGCTCTTTTGTATAACTTTGTATCGACTTGAGTAAATCTTTTGCAGTTTGTGTTCGATTTTATTTGCGAAGATATAGTCAAGATGCCTCAAAAGGAGCTTGTGGACCCGTGCTCCGATTGTCGTGAGTTCGAGTCCATCTTGACCCAGCGCAATCGTCGTCTATGCCAGTCTGTTGACCCCGTTCATCACCCCACTTTCGAGAAAGATAGACTTGCTGACCACGTCATATTTTAATACAGAAACTGTTATAAACGCGCGGTAAGCCTCAAGGTGCTGAGGCGCACGGAAAACTATCGGCTTCGTAAAGCCCCTTTCCCCAGGACCGGGCCGTTGAATCTCGCCTTCCCACTCTCCTACGGCCTTTCTTCAACCGTTCTGCTGCATATGTTACACGACCAGCTCGACGCTCAGCTTGCGAAGCCACGCGGACCTCCGGGATATAATTTACATGTGCTGATTATTGAGCCTTCGACTATCTGTCCTTCAAGTCCGTCACACGAGGAAGGCTTTGAAGCGGCGCAAAAATGCTTCCCTCATTTCTCTTTCACCCGGGTTTCCTTCCACGATATCTTTGATTTCGTCCCCGACATCTTGGAGACGATGTCCCAGTTCGCCGGAAGTTCTTTCGTCGACAACCCATCTCTGTCGAATCAAGAACGACTGGCCGCTTTTCGCGCTTCCATCTCAACGGCTACCTCCCGAGCCGACGTGGACTACATTCTGATGAATAGACTTGTCGTCGCATTCGCAAAGAAGATGGATTGCCGGGCTGTCCTGTGGGGCGACTCGGACAGTAAGCTTGCGGCGAAAACCCTAGCAAATGTTGCCAAAGGCCGGGGTTCATCGGTGACCTGGCAGGTGTCCGACGGCATGTCCCCGTTTGGCTTAGAATTCAGCTTCCCGCTGCGGGACTTGTTCACCACAGAACTTCAGAATTACGCCACTTTCTTCCCAGAGCTGTCTGAAATTATTATTCGGGATGAACCACCCTCGGAAAATACGCTGACCAAGAATCTATCTATTGACGAACTGATGATGCGTTATGTCCAGACGCAGGGCGAGAAATACCCTGGTGTCATGCTCAACGTGACGCGAACAGCGGCCAAGTTGGATCCCTCCCAAGCGCCCATGACAACGCAATGTCCCTTCTGTGGAAATGCAGTGTCAGAATCCGATGGAGAGAGTGTATTCTGTTACGGCTGTAACCGGTCTAGACCCGAGTCAAGTCCATGATTAAAAAAAGAAAAAAAGAAAAGAAAAGAAAAGTCTGAATGTCTTATTGTCATGAACGCAGCCATCCATCTCAAAGGATTAAAAAAAATTACAAGAAGCAAGATGGCAAAAGCTAGCAAGGATCACAAAAAAATAAGGCGTGGGCCGTCACATGTCACATCAATCATATGTCATTGTCTGGTTTTCCTGGAGTTGTCAGCGATTCCAGTTTCCACATCCTCTTCACGATGAGTGGAACCCCCGAACCAACCTCGCCGTGGTTGACCCCTTGATTGCTGTCTCGCTGGGGCCGGTCTGGAAACATCTGCGCCCTGTGCTTGGTCATAGCTAGGCGGGTCGTCCGAGGAATTTGCATGATGCCTATCCCATTCATCCGGCAAGCTTGGATCGACCTCATCGCCTTGCCGCCGTTGTCGTTTGGCAATCGACTTGGCTCCCTTCTCCCGCAAGTGCTTTTCCAAGGCGATCGCGTTCCGGGTGTTGCATTTGTAAATGGCGTCTGCGACATCTCCGACAAACGGAACCAGGCCGATCAGGAAGTCGATGATGACATTGACGAGCATCATCATTCGAATACGCGACGGAAGCCCACCGTCGATGCCTTCACAGCTCTTTACGACCATCATGGCCAACGCGGTATCGGCGACATCGCCAGCACTGGAAGAAACACGGGAATTAGCGCCTGGAGCAAGGGAAGGCTAGGACCGAGACCACTCCTGTAACTATACTCACAAAGGGATTAAAGCAATGACACTCCCCCAGCCAAATCGTATACCACACAGGTTGAACAGACAGTAGTCCAGTCTGTACGCACGTCGCTTCACCTTCGTGAGGATTTTCTGGTCATTCTCAGAGAGACCGGGCGGGATGGCCTTTGCTCGCTTCTGCTTCTTTTTGCCGAACGCGCGGTTCAAGCGTGAAGCGGGGACTTCCTCGAAGTAGGGGTCCTGCAGGATACCAACGCATGTGAGCCAAAGAGCACAACACCGTCAGACGACGTGGTGTGCGACAACATACCTCTGTTCCAAAATGGTTCCTTGCCGACTCGGCCAGGACTTTCTTGCCGACCAGGGAGACGAGTGCTCCAGACATGATTCTTTCGTAGAGTAATTCAAGAAAGGGGTTGCGTCCTTGAGCCTAGGATTTCCCATGCAAAACCTCTATGACCAGGAAAAGGAAGACAATATATTCCTCTTGTACCGACCGACTAGGGGGCGGATTTCTTGTTTTCAGATCGAAAGAATGGTAACCACCCCGTAGGCGCTGGCCCGTCTTTAAATAACGGTGGTGGAACTATGAAATCTCGTTGGGCATGTGCTCGTGGGCCCGAATGAAAGGGGTTGACGCCGAAGTGCTATTGGCCTGTCTCTATTGAAAGAAATCTTGATTGAAAGAACCTGACGAGTAAACAATTAAAAAATAAAATAGACGCGGGAGAATAAATAGAAACGTCGCAGAGCATCATCTCCTGTCCGATCAGCAGGGAACGACCAGATTCGAGCCGACGACGTCATTCCCTTCCTTACATAAGGAAAACGGCCTGAGGCGATCCATTTCCTATTCCCGCCACAAGTCTCAGCCACACTAAGCACAGCCATTACTGTGGCGCACCAACCGGTGGCTCAACACATCCATCATTGGCTGGAGACGCCACAACCATATCAGTCCAACACACCTGACTGACGCCAGCTATGGATGCGACAACCTTTTGACTCCCAACCAACTCTCGGATGTTGAGACGATTCGGCCCACTCAACTTTCCCTACACCTTCATTTTCTCGAGACATCTGATCGGGCTGTGATCCACACCGACTTTTTCTTTCCCTCACGCGCAGTACGATTCAGGGCTGGCGTTTTGCCAAGCGCCCTCGGAGCTGCATCATCGTGCTGCCCGCCCCCTCCTCGGATCTCCGTCGCTTGATCACCCTGCACGTTTGGCTCGAGAGAGCTTTATTATTATACGCGTGGCATTGTTGAAATGCTAGAGCATATTAGACAATATGACCGAAATAAATATGAAGTTAGAAGATTGTAAGTCCGGTCACCGTCTCCTATCTTGGGGTTCCCCAGAGTGGGTTCTACCACAATGGATAGTGGAGTGCTGACCAGGTGATCTGATGTCTATAGGGCTGGATGACTTGTGTGTCCGGTTCATCATTAACCTACCTCGCGAAGAGCTGGAATCTGTCGAGCGGATATGCTTTCAGGTTGAGGAGGCGCAATGGTTCTATGAAGATTTCATCCGGCCGCTTGACCCGGCTCTTCCCTCGCTTTCTTTGAAGGCCTTTGCCTTGCGCATCTTCCAGCATTGTCCGCTGATGTCACAATGGTCCCACTACCACCACATGACCGCGTTCTCGGAGTTCCTGGCCTACAAGACCCGTGTCCCGGTCCGTGGCGCGATCATGCTCAACCGGGAAATGGACGAGGTGGTGCTGGTGAAGGGCTGGAAGAAGGGGGCCAATTGGAGCTTCCCTCGCGGTAAGATCAATAAGGACGAGAAGGACCTTGATTGTGCCATTCGGGAGGTCTATGAGGAGACTGGGTACGACATCCACCAAGCGGGGCTGGTCAAGAACGATAAGGATGTCAAGTTCATCGAGATCACGATGAGAGAGCAACATATGAGGCTCTACGTTTTCCGCGATGTGCCCCGCGACGCATACTTCGAGCCCCGCACCCGGAAGGAGATTAGTAAAATCGAGTGGTACAAGCTTTCCGAGCTGCCTACTCTGAAACGGAGTAAGCAGCAGGATCAAGGGGTCGCGGTCGCCAACGCGAATAAGTTCTACATGGTCGCGCCCTTCATGCATCCGCTCAAGAAGTGGATTGCGCAGCAGAAGAAGCTGGATATGAAGAACCAGGTGGGTTCCAGGCAGGTTGTCCAGAGTGAAGGAGATATGTCAATGGACGAAGGCGGTTTTGGCGCCAACAATTATAACGCAACGCCAAACCTACCGCGCACGGAATTGGCGGTTGGAAGTGACTTGCCTGAAGTTGCATCTTCGCAGGATGCCTCCGCTCATCTCAAGCGCCTGTTGAACATCAATAACATGATGAAAATGCAAGGACAGGCTCACCCAGCGGAGACGTCACAAGCATCCAGCGCGGATCCCCTCAAATCGAATGCCCTTTTAGAGCTTCTAAGGAGCGGATCCCAGGGTCCTACTCCAGAAAAGGCTACGCCCGGGGAAGCCCCGATAGGGGCTCCACCCCCGCTTCAACCGGTTGCCCACCCTGGGCCCAATTTCTTTCCAGGGTTTCCGCAGCAGCATCCTTTCCCTGGACAATTTGTCAATACAACCCCACCGAAGGGTGCTTCCATGCCTCCTCTTCCACCCATGCATAGTATGAACCAGCATGCAATGGTACAAGGGTTCCCTGCGCCATCTCAGCAGATGCCTCCTTCCTACCCTCCTCAATCGCGTCCAGCACAGCCCTTTCATCCAGCCATGGTATCGACAGCCCCGTTTCCTCCACCCAACCCGGCGCCTGCCAGCCGCCCTTACCAGCGAACCGGGGATCCTGAGTTTTCGCAACCTCCTCGCCAGCTTTCCCAGGCTGAGGGCGCAGCTGTGCCCCCGGCCAATCAATTGCCGCCACCGAAGCTCACCAGTCACTCACTGGCCCTCCTTAACGTGTTCAAGGATGAGGCGGCCAAGACTCCGAAGTCCTCCCACGCAACACTGGCGCCACAGACTGCGGATAAGACGCCGGCTCATGGACGTAAGTCGTCGCAACACCAGGACCAGTTGCTCAACCTGTTGAAAGGTTCTCCGTCCCGACCAGCACCCGTCGAGCTGCCAGGCCGACCGGTTTCTCCGGCTCAGCGACAGATCCTTCAAAGACCCCGTGGTGACGGCCAGGGAACGCAGAAAACCAGAGCTAGCTCCCGGACGACCCAGCCGAGCGGTGCATGGACTGCAGCAACTGTCTCCGGGCCTTTGGATGCCCCTCAATCTGCGGCCGGGACAAAGCCACCTCCCAAGCGAGCGCATAACGGACCGCATCGGAAGGGTGCCAAAGATCGACAGGCCCAGCCTCTTGCATCACCGATTACCATATTGCCTCGGCCTCAGTCTGCAAAGAAAGAGGTTCTGCCGGCCCAGGCACCGGCCCGGCCCCCGTCTCAGCCGTCGCGGAATTCGTCCCAACCGCGATCTGCCCGCAAGCAGAAATCCCCAGAGGCACCAAAACCGTTTCAACCGCAGATCCTCCGCCGCGCCGAGAACGCAGACAATATCCTGCCCATCCGGTCGAAAGAGGCCGCGAGCCCTGCGAAGCAGGAGGAGCCGCGACTTCGCAGTCCTCGACAGGAAACTGGCGCCCAGCGTTCCACCGCCTTTGACCGCCGGCCCAGTCAGACCACCACACAGAAGGAGACGCTTCTCTCTCTTTTCGGCAAACCGGCGGGGTCCCCTGGCGTGTCGCCCTCGGGACAGCTTGACCTTCGAACATCCGTTTCTCAGCCTCCTGCACCCTCCTCCGTTGTCAGCCCGCTGTCCCCTTTCAACCTTCCTGCACGGACCATGGCCGAGACCAGCCCGTCACCTGAGGCGGTCACCCAAGTCTCGGAGCCTAGCCGTGTTGCATCTCCGGATAATAAGGCGTTCTTGCTTGGATTTTTGCAAGGCGTTGCCAAGAGCCACAATTGAGAGGGTTTATCGTTACTTGAGTCGTGATTTTATGTAGATAACTGGAGTCGGGATAATTGCATATTACTATGCTAGCGCGGGAATAACCTGTCATCTTTTTTAGCATTTCTTTCAATTGATCATAAGTAGTATCATTATCGAGGTGGAGAATTGATTTTACAGGTAAATACCTAGGTAGTTTCAATCAGTACACTCAGTACATTGAATGACTTCGTAAAAGAAGCAGCTGATTGGCGGATGTCCAGGTGGTATTCTGCCACTGGATACCGCCTGTTGGGTCATATGTCATCTCTGTCGAACTATCCAGCTACCGATTCTCTACATCTTTAGGAAACCCCAACCCCCCAATGCTCCTGAAATCATGATGCGATCCGGAACATCGACGCGCGCTGTGTGCGCCCACTGCTCAAGCCGCAGCCGGTTATTCTCGACAACCGTCCACCGACCAAGCGACTCTCTTCCCCCTCCCCCGCCGGCCACCGGCTACGCTCGACTCACGAACCGGGGCCTAATCTCCATCACTGGGGCCGATAGCACGACTTTCCTCCAGGGACTCATCACGCAGAACATGATGGTCGCCAATGACCCGAACCGCGCAATCCGTCACACGGGATCATACACCGCTTTCCTCAATTCCCACGGCCGCGTGTTGAACGATGCTTTCCTATACCCCCAGCCCAGAACCGATGACGCTACGTCCGACGACCCCGCGTGGCTGATCGAGGTCGACAAGAACGAAGTCCCGAGTCTCTTGAAACATCTCAAGAAACACAAGCTTCGCGCTAAGTTAAAGCTCCGTGCGCTCGACGACGGCGAACGCACCATCTGGTCCGCGTGGAAGAACCACGCTGAGCCCCGCTGGGCGGCATACAACCTCGAATCGCAGGCCTTGTCGCCTTTCTCGCCGGACTCGTCTATCGCTGGGTGCGTTGATACGCGGGCGCCTGGATTCGGATCCCGACTCGTGACGCCGGGCGCGGAAGACCTCCGCGCTCACCTTGATGAGTCTAAAGTGGCGGGCGCTGAAGTGGACCTCGGTTCTTACACGGTGCGTCGCATGTTGCATGGGGTGGCGGAGGGCCAGTCCGAGATTATCCGCGAGTCTGCCCTGCCGCTGGAGTGCAATATGGATATGATGCGGGCGGTGGACTTCCGGAAGGGCTGCTACGTTGGGCAGGAGCTGACGATCCGCACCCATCATACGGGCGTGGTTCGGAAGCGTATTCTGCCGGTGCAGCTTTATGATGGTGGTCTTGGTGAGCTGGCGACCGACAGCCCGGTTTATGACCCGTCCACGAAGCTGGCTCTACCCCCGAGGGAGTCGAGTATCTCCAAGGCCGGTGGACGCAGAGGTCGCAGCGCCGGCAAATTCCTCAACGGCGTTGGGAATATCGGCCTCGCGTTATGCAGACTGGAGATGATGACTGATATCTCGCTCACTGGCGAAGGGACCATGTTCAGCCCAGACCAGGAGTTCCAGGTGTCGTGGACTGCATCGGAAGAGGGATCGGCGGGTCCGCAGCAGCCGGGAGAGGTGAAGTTGAAGGCGATCGTGCCGCCTTGGACAAAGGATTTTATCCTGTCCGGCGGGATGAAGAACACCAACAACCAGAGCCAGGCCGGCACGGAGGGTCATCGGGCCCGGGACTTTGTGGACCAGTTGGGGGAAGAAGAAGAAGCGCAGCAACAACGACGACATGAATAAAAAGGTAGTATTTCAAGCATGTACATTGTCATAACGAATCTATATTGTATAATAAATAGCAAAGTTAACGACGAGTGTTTCAGCCGTGAGGGTATCTTAACAATCTATACAAACGTAGCAAATCAACAAAAGTGTTCATAGAATCGACAATCAGCATAGTCGGATCATGCCAGGGGGTGCAAAGCAAGCTAGTTCCGTGCTCCAGCAGCAGCAGCGGCCTCCGCCGCATCAGCGGCTTCATCTTCTCTGCTGATCTGCTCCTCGAGCGCCTTGCGTTCCTTTTCCCGCTGCGCATTCTTCAGTCGCATCAGGGTCGCCTCCTCCAAACTTAAGCTGCTCGGACTGGCAGACCGGGAGTCCTGGTCTGCGGGTTTGGAGCTTGCAGCGGCAGCGGCGGAAGAGAAGGAAGCGAATGACGGGGCCTTTCCGGGCCTCTGCCCGACCCCGTTCGACCCCGCTGACTTTAGGCCTGGGAAATTGAAGCTCGGCTTGGGAGTTGACTGTGGGATAGGGTTTCGGTTTCCCTTCGACGGAGAAGGGCTGCGTGTTTCTGCTGGGGTAGCCTCTGTTGCCAGATCCGGTTGGTTACCAGATGCCCAGAAGACCGAGTTTACCACGGCCCAGTCGTTGTCCGCCTGGCGCCTCTTCTTCTCGCTGTCCAGAACAGCAGTGTGGGCGCTGACGATGGACGCAAAGACCACCACTCCCGTTGCGATGGTCTTCTTCTCCCGATTCTCCCCAACCCGCTGCCTTTTATCTTTGAGGAGCACCACGCTCTCGATCTTCCCAAACGGCTCAAACAGCTCCATCAAGCGATCCCGATCGAGATCCACCCCACGCCCCTCCCGCACCCAACGCACCTTGACCGCGCGCTCCAACTCCGGCACATTCGTGCCCCCCTCCCGCGACCTATCCACCCGCTGACTGCTCCTGTCCGCCGCGCGCTGCGCCTCCTCCGCCTCGCGCTGCGCAGCGCGTTCTTCCTCATCCACCTCCTTCTGCAATTTATCCACCGCCTCCTGCCTCCTCCGCCGCCCATCCTGCGCAATGCGATCAATCTCCCTTTGCAGCTTCTCCTCCGCGTCGTCATCAGCAGCGGCGGTCTCAGCCCCCATCCATGACCGCTTGACCCCGCGCTGCTGACCAGCACCCGGCACAGCGCCCGCCCGCTCCCTTGCCTCCAAATCCTCCCGCATCTTCCGCTTCGCAGCGTCCATCGTGTCCCGCTCGCGCTGCTTCCTCACGCGCGCCTCGCGCGCATTGTCGTAGAGTTGGCGCACCGCCGGGTCCGAGAGTACATCATAGGCGATCTGGAGGAGGTGGAACTTGTCGATGTCGGAGGCGGTCGGGTTGGCGATCTTGTCCGGGTGGTATTTGAGCGCTGTGCGACGATAGGCGCGTCGAATTTCGGTCTCTTGTACGCCGGGGGTGATGTCCAGGAGGGCGTAGAAGTCTTGGTTGGAGGCCGCGTGGGCCTTGAGGTCGTCGGTCGACATTGTGGTTTGGTGGTTGGTGTTTGTGGACGGATGAAAATTGAGTCCTCATCCGACTGTGGGATCGAGAGGTGTGGGGGAGAGAGGAATCTCAAATGGCGTGGATATGATGGATGTCAGATGAAGCTGAAGGCGGTGAGGTCGTTTTATCGGCGGAGATCAACATTGATGCGCTAGTCTGTATCGGGTAAATGGATGGAAAGCGGCCTCAGGCTTCTAGAACAGGGTGGACTATAAACATTTCGAAAATACTATATCAGGAAGTGTTCAACATGGGATGGACTTTAGGATGAATATCCTTGTTTTATGTTCTGATTGAAATCGTGGATAATACCGTAATTGTATTTAAGAGAGTGTTTAGGAACTCTATATATCTGTGTACTTGTCTGTGAGAATGATACGGTAGGGTGCCTAGTCCGATGTCAACACGTGCTCCCTAATTTCACTTGTCAGCTGTTTTGCCCAAGGTTGTCTCTGATCCTACTTCATTTTAACGTAAATGGGTCATGAAAATGCAAGCCAATCTCCCCTCTCCAGCCCAGTTAGCCCTTGCCCTGGCGATAGTCAAGCAAAAGCCAACCCATCTGGATGTCAAGGGTAGACCAAGCGTATTATGACCGAAGAATAGGCACATGTGGCTAATCATCGTCTCTAGAGTACATCCTCCAGATCCGTCAGCAAATCAAGAGCACGGCAGAAGCTGGCGGAATATACACTCAGAAGAAATACTTCGATAGCGTGTCCTTCTGGCAGCAGGCGTACGAGCGATCCGAAGCCGAACAGACCAAGCTTCTCGACTGTATCTACGACTTGGAGCGTCGGAATGACGCTCTCCTGGCTAAAGCGCAGGGACAGGACACGGCCGATGTAGAGAAAGTCGCAGGCTCGATGAAGAGGAAAGGTGGTGCTGGGGATAAGAACGGCAGTGGTGGACAGATGGCAAGGAAGAAAACGAAGACCCAGGGGCGTCTTACTCAGGTCGTCACCGTGCCAACCTTGCCCGATCTATGTAGAAAGGAGCTCGAGTATCAGGAAGAAGGTGGGTCTGATATACTTCTCGTGGGTCCACTTGGATGCTGACGGTGTTAGCTATGGGCCCGTTCATGCGACAGCTGTGCGCCCTGCAGAGGTTATTGATTAAACGTCCTACTCGTTTGGATGTAATTCACGCTGTGGTGGGATTTTGCAATGCGGCAGAAAGTGCTGTTATGGACGCAGTGCAGGAACCTGTTGCGGTGGCTCGTCCGGCCAAGAAGAAGGGTATACTCCAGACGAAACCACCAGATGCTCTTGACACATTGCGGACGATGGAGAACGCATTTGGCATCTTGCCACAGGCATTGAAAAAGATAACTAGCTCTGAGAAAATGGCACGAGACTCAGGGCAGGTACCGTATGTCCTGGTGGAACTCTACGAAACCATCATGGGTGCGCTGGAACGTCGCTGCAGAGCGAAAGCGGAGAGCTTCATGACGCAAACCAAGACCAAGGCCAAATCCTCAAAACGAAGCCAAAAAAAGTCTGGGCCAAAAGTATCTCCTGCCACCCACGGTTATGGCGCCCTCAGTGCAAATATGGAAGACGACATCGTTGCACGTTTTTCCTGCCTGCTTCACACGATGGCCCTGGCGCTCGAGCTTCCGGGACAGGAGCACCAAAGCATTCTCGAGGGATTTCTGTTCGTCTTGCTCAATCGAGTCGGGAAAGTTCTCAGTCTCTTCGTTTTTCAGGATCTACAGCTGCGTCCTGATCTCCGGATCGATTCGTCTAAACTCGCGCTTCCTAGGGGCCTGGAGATGGTTAATGAAATGACAATATGCGCAGCCCAGATGGAGGCAAGACAGCTAATTTGGGTTTTGGAGAGACTGTTAGCCCTGTTGAACGATTGCCCGGCAACTGTAACTTCAAAAATGAAGGAGAGATTGCAGGGTACTCTTCTTCAAGGGGTGTTTGGCATCAACTCCGAATGGCCGAGCCCACTGCAGCGCCCTGTTCGACCGGGTGGTGACGAACACAACACTCTAACGGCTCACTGTCGGGACTCTGATCAACCCGTCCCGGAGTGGTTCATCCAGGAGGTATGGAGACTTCTAGGATGGGGGATATTGACGAACAGTCGACCCAAAAACGAGGAATTAAGCGCCGAGTAGTAAGACTGACTACTTCCCCAGACGTTGACCGAAAGATATTGCGTGGCAAGGATAGCCACACAAGGGGCTGTATATTTATTTATTGAGCCCACTCAGGAGGTAACTATAAGTTATTTAATAATAGGGATGGATGGTGGGAGTGACAAGAGGGCACAAGGTGGGTTTCAACCATCATCCCTCGCATTTATCAATATAATATTCCCCTTTCTGTAACAGGCTTTCCCCCGTATTCATCCAGGCTCTGATAAACCTCTTCACATTGCACAAGGCCAGCCGTTCATGATTACCCCTGACAATGTGACCCGGATTATCGATGTGATGCAAGCTCCCATCGGATGGCTACGTGAGGTATCTCATGCATATCGGAAGGATACGTACATACATACTACCACACAAACACGGATAGATCCACCATCTTTAATCTATTGCCGCTACTAGATTTATGGTATGTAATCTCCCAACGGCTGATACGGGTGGTTGTCAAGCGAGGGAAGGTATATATGGTTGAAAGTAAGGTAGGTGTAGGTAAGTGTAGGTAAGCGCGGTATATACAGTGAGAAGTTCTCCGTCCTCCCTCTCCCTTCCCCTCCCCCCTTCCCCCTTTCTTCTTTCGTCTTCCTTCGTTTCATCTCATCATCCTCTATATCCTCCAGGGGTATACCGTCGAATATAGCCTCCATGAACAAACGCCATTATAATCAAGAAAGCAAACTGAAATGGGAATCAAAAGGAAATGTCAAAGACTCAAATCTGACCAATACCTCCAGGGAACAAGCCAAAAGGGTGCAGGAACTCATGAATCAAATATAGGACCGAATGCCGGCGTCCCCCGGGACTCCAACTCGTATACTACTGACTTGGTCACCCTTGGGTTGCTGATGACACAGACAGCTTCGGCATCGAATTCTTTCACGAGTTGTCGGATGATGGGCACCATGTCGACGCGTCCCGACTGATTAGTCTCGATGACAACGGGGTTGGCATCCATACGGCGCACCAGGTTGAGGACTTCCTGTCCATAGGTCCTCAAGGGGGCTCGTGTCTGCCACACAACACGGAGATCCGGACGATTATCATCGCCCAGGAAGGAGAGACATGGCCCGATGCCAGACCCCGTCGTGACAACTACCACACGCTTGAAGACGCGCATGGCATAAGCAAAGCCATAGATAAGGACGCCTCGTTTCCAAAGGTGGGTGGGTTGGTCTTTGATGCAGGCTGACGTCCAGTCACCGGCTTTGGAAACGAGACAGGAGAAGGACTTGCCGTCGGGGTCTGGGAAGGTTGCGAACCCGTGCCAGTCCCGAAGGGGGTGTTTGGCTAGCTGGATGCCTTTCCCAAAGCTGGTGGTCGTGTGATCCAGGTGCAACCTGATGGCGTGGGGTGAGAGGCGTTCGGGTCGGACTTTGACTTTCCGGAGCATCACCCATGGTTGCACAATGGCCACGACGGTAACCACTAAGAACCAGAAGGCAGGCAGTTTGACCAAGAAGAGGCCGAAGGGCTCGTTGGCTGCTTGACTGGCTTCGTCCGCAAAGACCAGTAGCAGAACCACGAAGAGAGCAATGACCATCCATGCAGAGAATCGGTGGGTGAGCTCGAAGTAGTCGTGTTTGATGAACCGGAATGCAGGGTACGCAACAATGACAATGGCGAGCAGCAAGACGACAATGAGATAGGCCAGGATAACAGGAGTCACCGAGATCGTGGACTGGCCTGTCGGAGGGGCCCAGTACTCCTTGGACATGAGGCCCAAGAAGCCCATGTACCAGATAACCGCGGCAATTCCACAGCCACTATGCACCCCCCCATAGTGGTAGACTTTGGCTGCCACGCGGCGAATCCACAACGGCGCTCCTCGAGGGATCCAACAGACAGTGACAAATATGGCGTTCACCACGAGGGGCTGTCGTGCAAGACCACATGCAAGAACGTTAGCTGCGGCAGCATTCACCAGTGCCAGCAGTTTCTGGTCCGTTGTCATGACTGCCACGAAGACGGCAACGTTGGCGAAGAAGACTAGGCCGAAAAGCCGACGATATACATAAAGGATGGCATATCGGATGGAAGCACACCTCTTCCTCCTGTTGACCTGCGACTCGAGATCGATGCTATCGTCATCCCCATGCGGATATGCCTGTAGCTTCTCAGACAGGAATCCTGACTGGGGCTTTTCAACATCCGCCAATGTTGTATCACTAGGGACTCTCCTGCCGGATGCACATCTGGCAACCGGGGGAAGCGTCACGGCCGTCGGTTTAAAGTCTGACATGGTGGCTCAGGCCGCTTGTTGAATGGAAGAGTGGTAGAAAGGTAGGTCAGAGGAGAGGAAACCCAGGGTCCAAGCCCAATGAACAAGAATCAAAGCATACAAAGACAGTTGCGAAGGCTGGGCAATTCCAAATAAGCATAAAACACAACCAACTGGGAGGGTGGATGATTGGACCTGATTGCTATGAGGTACGTCTTGAATGGAGGGCACATGCGGCCTTTTGAGCCTTGTGCACGATGACATATAAAGCAGGGGCAATATTTCCCGAATAGTGGCAGTACATGAGATGCTTGCGTCTGTCTTCCTCGGCCCCCCCTTCCTCTTTCCATTTTCGTCTTCAACATCAGGCGACGACGTGTATGAACTACCTCGGTATCTTTCACCATCTTGTTTTCGAGATAGCCCGCCCCTCCATGATGGCTGAGGGCAATGACACTATAGTGGCGGGCCAGGATCCGCAGAACTAGTTCCACGAGGCGATTGCCAATGAGGAACCCGAGGCAGCTCAGTATCTCCCTTGCCTCAGCTCTCCGCTACCCCGAAGAGTGATATTAGCGAGCTAAGGAGGGGTGTCCAAGGAGGGGTGGTATCCCGTCCCCTGTTCTGGACTCCGACCCCAGTGATAGCCCTTGCTCGATGGAGTCACTGACGGAGTCAGGATGACCCAATACGTGCATCCAAGTGGCTCACGCGGAATGACTGGGTTCTCTCGATCGACATTGGCAGCAGGATGTTCCCAAGTAAGACAAAGCGCTTACCACCAGGAATGTCTCAAGATCCACCGGACCCAACGCCGAAAATATTATATCAATTTAATAAAAAATTACAGGGAAAAATTGGATTTAGGAAAAAGAGGAAGGATGCGGAACAACCGGGGCAATCAGATGCAACAGAGTGGGTAGGACCTCGAGCACCGGTTGACAGGTTGGGAAACCACCCAACAGTTCCCTTTGCAGAATGCACAGATGCCTTGCTTTTTTCCGAGAAAAAAACAAGCTGATCAACTTGCAGAGGGGGCGCTGTGTCTATCATGGTGAACTATTGATTCCAGACACAATGGTGGCTCAGAGAGACCGCCACGAGTTTATGGATACAGTTTACCCACAGGGCGGGGTTCAGCACGCCTGCGCTCGCCGTCCGAGGGGAAGATTGTCCCGTCAATAATGGCCTTATGCACGCATTTATGGGATTCTGATTAGAAGACGTCAGCCAGACGGGTTTCTAGTGGGTACCGCCATGCATCGCACGGCGCACGAGCCGTGGATTAATAGATTCTTTTTCCTTTCCAGGTTTCGCGGCGTTCGACAGCCCCTGGCGGCGCATCAGGTTCGCGTCAACGCTAGCTCGGTTCTCAAGACAAGGAAAACTCGTGCAGTAGGTTCAGCTGCATGGGGGGAACGGTGCTGTAGACCGACGGGGTGGTCTCAATGACAGGCTGACTTGTCCACTAGACGACGCGTGCGGGTCTTGGAAGAGACAAGTTCGGGCTGAATCCAGCCCAACATTGGTTTAAGTTATGGAGAAAGGTGATCATGGACCTAGCTTCGTCTGCATGACTGGACAGTGCTTCCGGTACGTTTGTTTTTTTTTTTTTTTTTTCTACTTTTGTACTGCTTAATAACCATGATAGACCGGACGACCCACCCGGCTGAGATCTGAATTGGGGCTTAGGTTACCTCGGTGAATGGCATTTGCAACTGGTCCCTGTGGGTCAGGGAGGAGGATCACCAGCCCGATCTGAGCGGAGACTTGGGTCTTGTCGGGATTTGCGCCACACCCTAAGTATTCCAAATCATTGATAGTCGACTTTTTCGATGACACTCGGAAAATGGAATTTCTAATCCCCTAGGAGGTGACCAATCCTTCCCACCCCCCTTCAATCTCCTCCATCATGACAAAAAGTCGCGTCTCTCGTCACCAGATGGTGGGTATATCTATCACACGGGGTGCCCGGTATTTGGGTGATTAAATCCCTTGTTTTCCATGAGAATATCTTCTGGTTTCTTGAACTGTGGTGTTTTCTTCTACATTCCCCCCTAATCTTCCCATTGTCGGCACTCTTTGTGGACTCTGCTCAGTCGGTTTTTTGATAATACTTTGTTTTTTTTATTATCATCTATTGCCGTTGTGGTTATTCTTTCTTATACCCCCTCACGTCTTCCCTTTTCAACGACAAGTTCACCATCTACAATGGGCCTCTGGGAGTCATCCTTAGCGTGCCCTAACCCGGTCGACAGTCCATACACCGACTTATTGTCGTTTGCTTTCCAAGGGCCCGTCGAGTACGATCAATCACGCCCATTGTTCATCGATGCCGAAAACCCCTCGCGTTCGCTCAATGCGAGTCAGTTCCGGCTGCTGGTGCGAACTTTGATTGCCGGGTTGAAGGCCCATCATGTGCAACGCGGTGATTGTGTGCTGGTCCACTTGGGGAATAATGTAAGTCCCTGATTGCTGCATCCCTTTCACCGTATCTTCCCATTGCCCCTCCTTGATCCGAATTGTTTCCCCTCCTTTGGGTTGCTGATGATTCGAATTTGCCGGCCAGATCATATACCCCGCATTGTTCTTCAGCATTATCGGGGCCGGCGGCGTGTTTATGGGATCCAATGCGCGCAGCCAACCACAGGAACTAGATCATATCCTGACGCTGGCGGAGCCTAAGCTGATTATCACCTCGCCCGATGCGCTCTCCACGGTTCTGGATGTGTCTGCCGATCATGGTATGCTTCCTAGTCAGGTGTGTGTGCTGGATGATGCAGCCACCGATCACATCGCACACTTGGTCCTGGGCGGCTCCCTGCCGAGCTATGGCCCCGTCAACGGGCCCTACATGCCGGACAGCGGGGTCGGCTGTCATCTGAATCTCGCCCATCTTCTCGGGTACGGGGAGAATGACTGGGTTGCGTTCGACGACGAGGCAATTGCCACGTCGACGCCGGCCGCCCTGTTCTCGACGAGCGGGACGGGTGGTCTGCCTAAGGCAGCGATCCTGTCGCACCACGCCATTGTCTCCCACAACCGGAGCATCCACTATGAGGTGCCCTACGAAATCAGTCGGCTGATGTCGCTGCCCATGTTCCACCTGTTTGGGGCGCTGTGGACGCACATATTCCCGGTACGCTACGGGCAACCCTTGTTCGTGCTGCCGCGGTTCGACACGGCGCAGTATCTGGCAGCGATATACCACTACCAGATCACCGAGGCGTACATGGTGCCAGCGATGATCCACACGCTCAATCGGAGCGCGTTGCCGGTGGCCGACTACGTGGGGTCGCTCCGGTACGTCGGAGTGGCCGGGGCGCCCATCGACGGGGCGTCGATGCAGCGATTCAACCAGTTCCTGGGCGAGTCGGCGGTCGCGTCGCAGCTCTGGGGTATGACGGAGGTAGGAGTGATCTTCCAGAATCGGTACGGGGAGCAGGGGCATCCTGGGAGCATTGGCCGGCGACTACCAGGATACGAGGTGCGGCTGGTCGGGCAAGATGGCAATCTCGTGGAGGGGGAGAATAGCCCCGGGGAGCTCTACGTCCGGGGAGCGGGGCTCCTGATGGGCTACAAGGGCCGGAACGACGCCAAGGACGCGCACGGGTGGTTTCGAACGGGGGATGTGGCGTATTTGAATAATGGGCTGTATTATATTGTGGGGCGGACCAAGGAGTTGATCAAAGTACGAGGGTGTGTTTTCTCCTTTTTCTTTTCTCCCCCCCCCCTTTCTACTTTCTTCCTATTTTTTTTTTTTTTAATACTAACATGGATATTAGATGGCAAGTTGCACCGGCAGAGCTGGAGGCAGTACTGCTGAAGCACCCTGGGATTGAAGATGCCGCCGTGACGGGGGTGACATCCAAGGATGGCAGCACCGAGGTGCCACGAGCGTTCGTGGTGCGGACGCGGGGGATGACCGGGGCGCGACTGACGGCGGAGGAGGTGTACCTGTTCTCGCGACGGCAGCTGGCGAGCTACAAGGCGTTAGACGGGGGGATCATCTTCGTGGAGGAGATTCCTCGGACGGCGAGTGGCAAGATCCAGCGGTTCAAACTGTCGCAGATGAATACGTACCGGGAGATAGTGAGCTCGTTATTGGCGCGGTTCAAGGGGGCGGGATTACAGACGCTGGGGTTGATGCACAAGGGACGAATCAGCGTGTGATTTTTGTTTCGCTCTTTTCTTGTTCGATGTTTGTCGAGGATCTTTTGGCGTTGTGACTGGAGGCAATTTATTTATTCATTTTATATATATATGACATATTTTGTTTTTTGTGTTGTTCTCTTTCTATTATTTTCTCTTTCAAAGTATTCAAATATCCACTTATTTATTATTGATCCATGTTTAAAACTGAGTTTACCTTCCTTGTCCACCAGACCCAAACTATCGACTCAATGCATGGCCTCCCAGGGTAGTGGTTGGATCAAGTAGGTAGTGTCCCCACCCACTACACTAGACCAGGGAGTGCGCACGAGCAGTTCACTACTGACTGACTTGGCCTTACTACGTAGTTAGCTGCGTCGACAACTAACCACATAGTCAGTAGCGATTACCCTTGCATGGATAAAACCGTCGGGTACGTATGTAGTATGTAGTATGTATGAGATCAGACCACCATACCTTACCAGGATCGGATGAATCGGTGAGAGGAAAGACGTTGAGGACCGTTTTTGGGGCGCTGATCGGATTGTTTGCTTGCTTTTAGGATCTGACTTTGTTGGATTTGACTGTTTGTGTTGGGTTGATGCCTGCTTCGTAGTATTCTTTGGCTTGGGTATTATAGCCAGTGTTAAGGAGAGGTATAGTGTTCGCAAGATAGGTACCAGGTACGGAGTATGTGGGAGGGGTACATGGAGGAGATTGATTTACTCGTGACCATGGTATAAATTTCGTCTTCTCTGTATCGTTGATTAATAATCACCGACTATCTGTATGTAATCGAAGTGTCACTCGTGCAAATCAATCCATCAATTAAGTAAATCAATCAAGTCCATAAATCAAGGATCTCCCAACTATAAGCTCTAACCCAGTAGCCTGAGGCTAGTACTAGCCTCAGGCGAGGGATGTCCTGTTTGGGACTAGCGGGCGGAGATGGTTCATCAGCCACGAACTGGATCGACGTGGCGCAGTTTTCATGCATGAACCTGTTTTGTTGACTTGCACCGCCACTTTCTTGCTTTTTTTCTGGATTTTGGGGATCATGTTTATTATATCATATCATACCACGCTATGAAATATGATGTGGGTCTAAGTCGCGTCGCAAAGACCACAATCGACATGATAAATTGGTCATACTTACTTCTACCTCGTATAAATCTCTATATCAAGGAGGATAAATCAGAGGTCAGCAGGTTAACCACACTTACAGACTATCAAACTATCAACACTCTAACAACCTACCCCTCAATCCTGTCAATCATTCCTTCGGCCGATCTTACCTGTCATGCCTGTTCCTGCTTACCTAGTCATTGTTAGGGCTCCTTTCCTTTTGGACGACTCTAGTCCAGTTTAGGAATTTTGGCGAAGATGAGTGCAGTGGATATCATGAAAGTTAGAGATCCACTTGTATGACTCGGGTGTGATCCTGGGTTGGATCATGGCGATCTTTGGATATGGTATATACCCCTCTTTGATTTCCCCTCATTGTCGAGCGCGCTATTGAAGTTTGTTATACTTGCTTTCTCCGTCATGGAGGGGTTGGGTTGTTACTTGATTGCCTACCTAGTATCTATCTATCCATCTAGGATACCCCGCTTGTTAGATAGTCTGTGAATCGAATGTGACAGGGTGACAGACGCTCCCAACAAAGATACTGACTGATATTGAACACATGGTCTCCGAGTCCGATTTTTACCGCAGTGGCATCGCCACCCATGTGACATGGTCTAGTCCAGTCTATCAATCCATATCATATCATATCCATAGATACTGGGTAGTTTCGTCTATAGTAAACCATAGTACCTATCGAAAATGATACCATGCCTAATCAACACAAGCAGACCAATACCTCTACATCCATCCAATGCGCACGTCCCACCTGGCGACTGGCGACATTTGGCAGACGAGTCTCAAACGGTCCGGACGGCAGCCGACATCAGCAGCAGGGATGTCGAAACACCATAAATAGATAACAAAGACAATAGAAGCGAAGGGTAAGCACTATCTGCCAACAATGGTCTTATCCTTGTTTATTGTTACATGCGACTATCTATATACTGTGTCTGTTTACTTTGGTATTGTTAGCCGAGGGACTTGCCTAATAATAGGTTGTTGAATATTGATAGGATTGGAGGGAGGGAGGGAGGTAGTTGGGGATTTCGTAGGTATAGCAAGGATCATGCAGTGGTAAACAAGTCAATGAGTGACTAAGTCTAGGTAGGTATGTCTGTCTTGCCGCGGCGGGCGCGCAATATCCATCTATCTATCTATGTATGCATCTATCTACCTGTAGGGTTAGACAATACTAATAACAACAATAGTGAAGAAAGGTATACGTATGCAAGTTTGTCAACTCCCAACGGATCGAAATCAACGACACTGCCTAACAGCCTGTTCTCTACCTACCTACCTACATGTCAATATACCAGGTCCACCCCCTGAAGAAACCCAGCCCATATCCAAACCCCATTCCCGACGAGTAATCTGCAGCGTGGACGAGACTGTTACTCATGCAGTATGTACGTGTCGTACGGTGTACAGTAGCTATGCAGCTGTGGGCATGCGTCTGTTGTAAGATGGTAATTCTTGCATATTCATCTACATGTGGGGGATTAAAATAATTGAGAAATTATGAGGTGGCCATTGGTTGGATACTGTCAGTGCGTAGACTGCAGATGCAGACGTTGTGGACGTCAACGCTGTGACAACGATCGAGAGCGATCGAATCTACGGAGGATATCTGCTGTGCGACGTCGATTTGCGTAACGTTTTATGACTAGGGGAGGGTATGTCAGGGTCAGGGTTCAAGGATGCTGTGATATGGATGTCATTTTGAGCTGGGGATCCCAGCTGCAGTGGTCTGTTTCATCCTGATACCGTCTGCCAATAAATCCATTCAACCGTCCATCCAACCATCCAATCCCAAAGACGAAAGGAAATCCCGTACAATGTAATAGAAGAGAAAAATCAAAAGAAAAATTCAAACAATGCCATACCCCCTCCACCAAACCCCCCACACCAACGGCCCCAACGCCCCCAAAACGGTTGCCCCCACTGGCATTTCCAAGATACACCACACCCAGATGGTGCCGATGGCCGGCGCGCGCTTCATCACGGCGTAGTACGGGTCCTCGTTAGTGATGGTCATCAGCTTCACCCCGAGGGCAACAGCAACCGGCAGGAATACGACAGTCCGCCACGTCGGCGGAAACAGCAGTTTGCGCAGAAACGAGAGAGAGATCTTGTCATTGGACCACGGGATTAGCGAGACGGGTTCGGGCGTGTCGTAGGGCCAGACCCGCGCGAAAGACACGATGTGGCCGTGGGCGAGATGGATGAGGAGCGTTAAGATGGGGAAGGTGAGGAAGGCGGATTCGCGGAGGAGTTCGTCGAGTGCAATGCTTTCTGCGTATTGGTGCGCGGCGAGGTAACTCAGGGTGAGATGGAGGGTTGTGAGTGGGAGCGAGAGGAGGATTGTGTCGATTAGGGGGGGGATGGGGTGGTCGGCTTGTTCTTTTTGATTGTCGTTGTCATCCTCATCCTCATCATCTTCGTTGTCGTTGTCGCTGTCGCTGTCGCTGTTGTGGTTGTCGTCTTCAACGTCAGAGTGTAATCCCTCATCAGACGAGATCTCCTCCACAAACCCCCCAGACTGCGTCTTGGACATCTTCCCCGTCACAGGATCGATCGTCACGAACTGCGTCCCCGGCACAGACGCAGCGGACGTGTTCGCGCGATGCAGCAGCTCGCTCTGCCTCTCAGCAATAATGTCCACTAGCGTTTTGCCCTGCGACATGGATGAGCCCTGTGGGGGTCTGGCCATTGGGATCGACGATGGGTCGAACGCGTTGCTGTCGCTGCTGGACGAGGCTGCGGCTGCGGCTCGGCGTTGTTTTCGGTTTTTGGGAGTGTCCATTTTGATTAATTATTGGACCGATCTCGATCTGGAGATATGGGAGTTTGGGTGGAGAGATTGGGGAGCTAGATCGGTGTGGTGGTTGATTGTTGATGAGCTTAAGCTTGCTTAGCTTTCGGGATTTCGGAGTGATCCGATCCATCACCGCCCGGATTTAAGCGGGGTTAGCGTCTGCAGTGACATATGGTAGGCGGTTGAACTATACTACACTGTATACTGTATACTCAGATATGAATCCTGGAATATAGACAAGATGAATGATATTGGCGATTGATGTTGCAGTATTAGTACTAATTTGTTGTACAAATTGATCTCAACAAAACTTAAAAATGTCCTATACCATATCCATCCCCACTATCCGCAGAGCCTACCCCTACCTACAAAAACGTCCCTAACCAGCTTGGTAAAGAGCAGGCCCAGCAACGACATGCTCGTTAATCATAGTGATATTAAACGGGGTGATGGTCGGGTTCGAGTCCGTTATCGCAATGAACATCGTCCCGTTGATAGCCGGGTCACCCGCGTAAGTCTCCAAATTCGGCTGCGCCGTCTTGCCCTGTAGTCCCGTCGTGCCAGACAGCGTCAACCGGGTGTAGGTCACGTTCAGCTGCGTCACCCACGCTACGTACCGGGGCGCCCCCGCCATGGTCGACGTGAGGTAGCTGTTGTTCGGGCCGACTGGTTTCCCTGGGGCTTCCCACGAGAGCTGGATCTCTCGGCCGGGGTAGGAGAGTGGGTTGGTGCGGTTGCGGGTGATGCCCGGCTGGCAGCTGGAGCCGACGGCTGTGGAGGCGAGGCAGGATTGTGAGCCGCCCACGCCGGTGTTGTTCAGGACGTTCGTGCCGCCGGTTAGGGTCTCGTTTGTTGCCGCGCCGCCGTTGATGCGGGTGGGGTTTGGTTGGTTGGGGATGGACAGCGCTGGGAAGTTCTGCCATGCTAGTCGGGTTTGGCCTTCTGGGCAGGAACTGATGTATGGCGCCAGTAAGGTCCATGCCCAGGACTGGGGGATCCCGACTTCGAACCACACGGGCATGGGGAAGAGGCCTTGGAACTGCCGGAAGATCATCTGCTGCCGCGCTTCGGTGGTAATCGCCAGCGTTAGGAGGTTAGCGGCCTCGCGTGAGTCCAGATGTGGGAGAAACCCGTAGACGCCGGATTCGCCGAAGCGCGTGACCTTCTGGCAGAAGTCGAAGAACTCTGGGACTGTGGTGTACGGGTAGTTATAGCTACACTGCCGCGGGGCTTTGGCTCCCAAGATGTTGGTGAGCATTGTGGCGTGGCCGACCTCTTGCTCTGCCATGAATTGGATCAGGAAGCGATCCTCTGCGGTCAGCCCAGCTGCCTTGAAGTCCTCGACGGAGAACCGCGCCAGACCGTCATGGAAGAGATCGAGTTCGATGTACTCTTGGTACAGCCCCAAGGCCTAGTCATCGCTTTTAGCACATATCTCGGGGTGAGGGAAAAAGGGGGTAACACACCATTGATTGGTAGTCAAAGTCACTCTTCGCGTTGTAGACCGGTGCATTCCCGCCAGTCCCCAAGCCTCCGCCGGGTACATAAGGCGCCGGCTCGGGCTGATGAAGACGTCCATCGCTGGGATATGTCGTCGCTGCAGGAAGGGCACCCAAGGTAGGGATTCCTGTCCCGATAGAGCTGGCATTCAGCGCGCCTGTCACCGTCGGGGTCCCGTTGAAGGGGGTGTGGATCGCGGAGGACGAGATGTTCACGACGGGAGGCACATAGGACGAGGCCACTGGGGTGGCTTGGGCCATCACCCTCCTGGGAACAGCCGTCACCACAGGTAGACCTGCTAGGGTGAGGACCGGCAAGTAGTATATTATCCAAGTCATGATGGGCACTTTCACTCAGTCAAGTATCGATATAGGGTGGAGATCTAGGAGGACCGGCATGGCCGGGGCTGAAGTACATATAGCACCCGGGAAACACGGAAGGCGACATCTTGACGCAAATCATTTTCTCATCGACCAGCTCTTGTCATAGAGAGTAGTGAGAGTTTCAAGCCATTCCACGCGAGGCTTGTCATGATTGTTAGGAGGTCGATGGTGGAACCGGGCCACAGACGAGCATGATAGGTCCTATGCGATGAGCCACCATAGTCAACCATTTTTTAGGTTGAACCTGACATGAATGTAGGTCAGAATCGCATCGTACGACGTCACCGAGAGACTACCAGCTTTGCATTGGACCTAGAGATGTATGTAGAAACCACCTCAAGGTCGACGATGCATCATGTTCGGGACGCGTCGATCGATCAGGTAGTCAACTACACCGATGTAACCGTTGAACCCACCAGTTCCTGCTTCAGGAACAAAGATCCTAACAGGAGCATACAACTCACAAATCATATCGTTCACCACAAGAAATGCAATCGAGGTGTTGTAAACAGCCAAACAGGAGCTCGAATCAATGACGTTGATGGCGCTACTCAGTAGGCAAGGGTCGTCATGGAATAATCCATGCTCTCAGATCTCCATAATAAAGTCAGAGAAGTAGAAATTGATATGAAATAGATTTCCGCGGACCTGAAACGACGGTGGAAGAAGTTGGCGAGGCGAGGGAAAGTAGTCCAGGTCGAAGATATCCCCGCACATCCACGGGACCCACCGCGGGGAATGCGCACGCCATAGAATGGGGAATGTTGTCAACCCACCCCATCATTAATGTTACATTCCTCATCCATCGTTCCCCTTCCTGCATCCGTCACCTGTCTCTCGTCAACTCAACAACCATGTCTAACCTTCAGATCCCCAATCTCTTCTCCGTCCAAGGACTCGTCGCCGTCATCACCGGCGGAGGAAGCGGTACCTCCCCTTCCTATATTGATTGGAATATGCCCAAAGCTAATTGATGGATAGGTCTCGGCCGCACAGCTGCCCACGCCCTCACAGAGAACGGGGCTGCCAAAGTGTTCATCCTTGGTCGACGCGCCGAAGCCCTGCACGAAACCGCCAAGCAGGCCCCCCAGACAATCATCCCCGTCCAAGCGGACATCACATCCAAAGAGTCGCTGACGGCAGCGTACGAGACCATCTCCGCGCAGACCACCCACGTCGACCTCCTCTTCGCTAACAGCGGCACGATCGGCCCGCGGGCGACCCCGCCCACGCCGCCGGCGACGCTCACCGACCTGCGCGAGCAGCTGTGGGCCATCGATCCGCAGGAGTTCACCCGCACGTTCGACATCAACGTCACGGGCTCGTACTATACCGTGCTGGCGTTCTTGCCGCTGCTCGAGGCGGCGAATAAGCGGCGGCCGGCGCCTGTTAAAAACCGCGTGTCGGCGCCGACGGCGCAGGTGGTCATTACGAGCTCGATTGCCGGGTTTATCCGGAAGGTGCCGTTTAGCGTGTCTTATAATCTGTCCAAGTCGACGGTGAACCAGTTGGTGAAGGTGTTGGCGACTACGCTGGCGCCGTTTGATATCCGGGTGAATGGGATCGCGCCGGGTTTGTATCGGTCGGATATGTCAGCGGGGAATTTCCCCGAGGATGATAAGGGGGTGTCGGATGGGTCGTTTAGTCGGGAGATGATCCCGTTGACTAGGGCTGGTGGGGAGGAGGACTTCGCGTCGTTGATTCTGTGGTTGGCGGGTCCGTCCGGGGCATACTTGAATGGGAACATCACGGTGACGGATGGGGGACGGATGGCTATGCAGCCGAATACTTATTAGACATAGATCTATGAAGCTGAGCTAGGTCGATTTGATTGGACTATTCTTGCTATGGAAAGAAGTGCGCTGATGGCTGGTATATAAAGAATGTACGGGTCCGCGGGTTAGATCGTCGCTTGCAGCCGCTGGACCAGGTAGTCACCGGTCAGAATGCCCGGGTACTTGGCCGGGCGCAGCGACTCGCCTGCCTCATAGGTACCCGGCAACGCCTCGATCCACCGGTTGTGGTTGGGGTTGCAAAAGTACGCGATGCTGTAGCGATCGGGGTACACGTCGGGCTGCCCCGTAGCGTCTCCACCGGTGGAGATCAGCGGGGGCTCGACGACCCGGTGGCGCGTGCTCTTGATCAGATCGTTGGACCACCGCGCCAGCAGATCGCCCGCGTTGACCACGACCGTGTCGGGCATGGGCGTCACGTCGACGAAGGTGCCGTGGGGACTGCGCACCTGCAGGCCGCCGCGACGGTCCTGGAAGAGCAGGGTGATGGAGCCGTAGTCGCTGTGCTCGGCGGCGCGCACCTGGGAGGGGTTCGACTGAAAAACCTTGCGGTTGACTTCGGGGTAGTGCAGCAGACGGAGGTTGTTGTCGCCGGCGTCGACAAAGGAGTCGAAGTGGTGCTCGGGCAGGTTCATGCCGAGGGCGATGGCACGCATGACCTCGGTGTGGAGGGCCTTGCAGTTGTCGAAGAAACCGAGCATGGTCTCCTTGAAGCGACGGCCGTCGTCGTCGAGATGGTCGGGCCAGCGGTTTGGCATGCCGTCGACGCCCTCGCGACCGATCTCCATGGTCTCCTTGAGATCCGGGGGGACGCCCTGGGTCTTCTCGGTCTGGTCCGGGGTGTTGAGCTTCTCTTGGCCCGTTTTCACGTACCCACGGTTCGCCTGTGGGGTGGTCCAGCCGAGCCCGTCCTTTTGATCCTGGGAGCGGGCAAAAAAGTGGGCCGATGAGTCGAACACGCGGGTGACCACCGATGGGGCGATGCCATGGTCCTTGAGGTAGAGGAATCCGGAGCCCTTGAAGGCGTTGATGACGGAGATGGCGACCGCGTGGCGCTCGGCTGGGGTGCCATGGAGAAAGGGCGCGAAGTCGATGACCTGATTAGACTGGTTAGGCGAAAGATATACGGAGTAGTCGGGTTACGTATCACGAAGGGTCTCTATTATAGAGCCGGGATACCAACCGGGATAACCAGGTCGTCTTTCTCCACGGCCGTGACGGTGGGACGGCACTCTTGCTGGGGAAGATTGCCTTCCATGGGGACTATCATATTGTATTTGATGGGTAGTGTGAACTGGAAATAAGAAGGGAGTATATAGACTGATGGAGATGGAGGGGGAGAAGACCGAAAAGAGAGAGGAGAGAAGTGGGGAGTGGAGAAGAGAGAGAGGAGAGAAGGAAGAGAGAGGAGAGAAGAGAAGAGGGGATATCGATATACTACACTATACTATAGACTCTACTCTGATAAAGGATCTGATATGATCGATATGATCCTTTATCACCTCGTATCCGATAAGTTATCATGATAATTATCTCTCTATCTAATCGGTTATCCAGGATTATCTCCAAAGCGGGGTTTGGCTTCACTGGATGCAATGAAACATCAACCCCGCTTCCCTCTCTCTTCTTAGCTGTTGTCTTCTTGATTTGACTTTCTACCCTACTTCTATACCTACTTTCTCCTACTTTCTACCTACCACTGCTGTCACCCCCTCTCAAATCACCAATTACCTCGACAAAATGCCTCCCATCGTCGACATCCACACCCATGTCTACCCCCCAGCCTACATGGCCATGTTGCGCTCTCGTCGCACAGTGCCCTACGTGCATGATCCAGCACCCAGCAAAGACGGGGATACCACCCCTCGCCTCATCATCCTCGCCTCAGACGATGACCCATCCATCCCCATAGACCAACGCGGCCGCCCAGTCGACTCCTCCTACTCCGACATCAACGTCAAGCTCTCCTTCATGCGCCGCCACGGCATTACAACAAGCGTCATCTCCCTCGCCAACCCCTGGCTCGACTTCCTCGAACCAGCCGACGCCCAGCCCTGGGCCGAGCGCATCAACAACGACCTCGAAGCAACCTGCGCCCAGTCCAACACCTCCAACTCCAGCAGTGACTCCCCCACCAAACCCCTCTACGCCTTCGGTACCCTCCCCCTAACGGCCCCCACCCCATCCGCAATCGTCTCCGAAATCCACCGCCTCAAGACTCTCCCGCACCTCCGTGGCGTCATCATGGGCACCTCCGGCCTCGGCAACGGTCTCGACGACCCCGCCCTGGACCCCATCTGGTCCGCCCTCCAAGAAACTAACACCCTCGTCTTCCTACACCCGCACTACGGCCTCCCGGAGGAAGCCTACGGTGCGAACGGCGCCGATGCCATCTCCCGCTCCGGCCATGTCATGCCGCTCGCGCTGGGGTTCCCGCTCGAGACGACCATCGCTGTCACGCGCATGCTCCTCGCTGGTGCGTTCGACCGGTTCCCGAAGTTGACGCTGCTGTTGGCGCATTCGGGGGGCACGTTGCCGTTTTTGGCCGGGCGGATTGAGAGCTGTATTCATCATGAGAGGAAGTTTGTTGGCGCGGATGGGAGTGTGGTTGATGGGCCGAGGAGGAGTGTTTGGGATGTGTTGAAGACGAATATTTATCTGGATGCTGTGGTATATGGGGCGCCGGGGTTGAGGGCTGCTGTTGGGGCTTCTGGTGCGGATCGGTTGATGTTTGGTTTGTCCCCTCCCCCCCTCTCTTCCCCGTCTCTCTTGTGTTTTTCTTTCCCAGAGTACCGATCTATACCCAAGGAGACAAGAAAGAAAATACTAACATAATGAAAAAAGGAACCGACCACCCCTTCTTCCCCCCTCTGGACGAAAAGGAGCCCAACCCCGAATGGCCCAGCGTGACGACCAACTACGATGCGATCAAGGAGGCATTCGGTGACGATAAGACGGCCGATGCGGTGTTGGGTGGGAATGCGGTTCGTGTACTGGATTTGAAGTAGTTTCTTTCTGTCTGTTCGTCTATCTCTCCGTTATGTGGTAGTAAGTAGTATGATAGAAAGAAAGAATAGATAGAGTGGATGCTGGATTTGGTTTTGGTTCTTTGTTTGGATGGTTTGTGGATGTAGTTGTAGATTACTAGATGTGGACGTAGGTTACCTGGATGTAGATAAAGTAGGTAGGTTATTAACAGTACTGTACTTACCATGGTACAATATTCAAGGTAGGTCAGAGATACCTTATCCTCAGACATACGGACAGATATATCAACAGAGGTCCAATTTAGTTAGTGACCTTCCATTGTGATACCGTCAGACACTACAGAGTATAGAGTAAGAATCTTACAAGAAACCATTACAATAAATGATAAATATTGAATGACTGATTGAATTACCATCATAAAATTCGGGTATTAACTAGATACATCTGAAAAATTAAAAAACATGTAAAATAAGAAAAAGCGTAAAAACGCGATGCGGGTATGGGTATCATATCAAGTCAGTAGGTCATGATCCTCCCCTGTAGAGTAAACTTTTTTCTCCCTTTCAATTTTTTTTTTTTTTTTTTTTTTTCCCACGTTTTTCTTCGCAATTGTTCACGCTGGGAAGAGCCAAAGCGGTCATTATTATTGTGTAACAATTTAGGTATGTCCTCAGTCGTCTTCAGGGACGAACTGTCCATTAAGTCTTTGCGGGTCTAGAAGTCGTGTCGGTCGTAAAATAAGATGAGTGAAGAATAGATAGCGTAACGTCGTAAAGGAATTGTATCTTGGCTCACGAGCTCGAGTCTGGCTCGGCCGTCAGATCGTCTGTCGTCAAGGCGCGGCCGCGGCCCGAGTGCATCGACCCGCTGCGGGAGGACGCACTGTCCAGACGCAAGGAGTCCATCCGCTCCAGATCTGCGTACTCCGGCAACGCCAGCGGCGACCCGTGGTAGTCTTCCATAGCGCTGCCGCCGTCGAGCATGGCGTAGCCCGGGGGACTCGCTGGCACATCCTCGTACACCGGGGGCATCTCCTCGTCCCAGCTGATGCCGAGGCCGCTGCGCTCGGTGACGTGCAGGTGGAACTGCATGCGGAGGACGCGGGCGGCGCCCGTCGGGGTGACGAGGCGCGGGTTGCGGTTGGGGCAGAACTCCTCGGCAACGATCAGCTCGATGACGAGGTTGTGGCGGGCCTCAAGGCCACCCGGGGCGTCGAGGTCGCAGACAGGCTTGGCGTTGGGGTTGATGCTGGCCTCGAACTCGCAGGTGATCTCACCGCCGGCGGTGTCGAAGTCGGTCTTCCACCCGTCCTTCTCCTCGTGGTGGCCGATGACGCGAGTCTCCTGGTGGAGGACGCCCTTGCCCTCGCCGCCAATCTTGTGAGCGTGCTTAGGGCAAGCCGGGGAGATGATTTTCTGGTGCTCCTCGATGCGCCACATCATCTTGCGCAGGCGCCAGCGGGTCTGGGTCTCCTCGCCCTTGTCGACGACGCCGCTGAGAGTCATCTGGACGGGGAAGGTGCCGATCGGGTGAACGACGGAGGGGAGAACGATGCGGCCGGTGAGGTTGGTGGGGGGGAAGATGCGGATGGAGGACTTGTCGTTGCCGGGGAGGATGGCGCGGCGGATGTGGAGGGGCATCTGGAAGGTGTACTCCTCACCGGAGACGTCGCGGGCCTTGGCGGCGAGAGTATATTCAATCTGACCGAGGGAGCCATTGCACGAGGCGGGCAGGTGACCGGGGAAGAGGTAGCTGAAGGGGAACTCGTGGGGGCCGGACTTGAGGGCCAGCGGCTCAGTGAGAAAGGTCCAGTGGTTGAGTTCGTCAGTGCGGGAGGCACAGTTGCGGCAATCGCGCGAGACCGGCTTCTTGGTGGTCATCTTGCTCATCAGGCGCATCTCGAACTGGTCTAGCGTCAGGGTGCCAGCGGTGTCGGCGACGGTGATTTTCAGACGGCCCGAGAACAGGGCGCCGGTGGAGTTCGACGGCGCTCCATAGCAGACCAGCGGGGGGGACTCGACGATGACATCCAACTTGGCCGCCGCTACCTTCTCCTCGGCCGCTGCGCGATCCTTGGAGCGCGCAGATCGAGAGAGGCCGCGACGCTTGTCCTTACTGTGGTCCCGATGGGGGTGAATCAGATGCTCGACGGCGAGAGAGAGGCGTCGCTCAGGCGAGCGGGCTCGGTCCGCCAACATGTGAGCGGCGGATTTCTTGCCGGAGGGCAGCGAATCGTGAGGGATCTCGTTAACGGAGGAGGAAGAGGAGGCGTTGGAGTTGGTACGAGAAGAGAATGAGATGTGGTGAGAGACGGAGGGGCGAACAAAGCTGGGCAGGAGACGGCCCGGCATGATTCTTTTCTTTCTCTCTTGTCTTCTGTTTTGTTTGTTTCCTTCTGTCCTTGTTGGTCTACTGACCCGGTTGATTGACAACGAGGGATCTATGTCAGTGAGAGAGAAGTCGTGATGTAGATCTAGGACTCGGAGCGATGCTGATATAGTTGAGAAGTACGATTGACAGTCCAAAACATAATCTATTGGATAGACTAGATAGACTGATGCATCAAGTGAAAGGTGTGAAGTGGGGTAGTCCAAGAAGTTTGAAGTCGTTGAAAGCGGAGGAAGAGGAGAATTATATCCGAAAGAAAAAAAAAAAAAGCAGGAGAAGAAATCCAGATGAATGACAGTCATAAATAAGGGAAAACTGCCTTATACTTCTGGCTCCTTCTTTTTTTTTTCTCTCTTTTTTTTTTTTCTTTCTTTCCCGAGGAGATGATCCACCGAGAGATCCACTGGATGTCACCGGTACCATACCCAATACGGTATGGTACGGTCCGTCTGGCCACCCTCGTCTGGCTGTCTCCGAGCGGTGAGTCTTGGAAAACCCCCGCTGCATGCGGGAGTGGGCAGAATCAGCGTCATAGTGGGTCGTATTACTGACCATCTGTAATTACTTACCAGTAGATACTTGGGTAGAATTACATCACCGGATGACAGATCCGTCCCTGATACAATACGTGGCTGAGTACGTGGATGAGACTATTCCAGAAACATCGTTGCTACTGCATCTGTCAGTGAATTATCCGGGAACGGAAATTGAAACCAGTTTACAATGTCTTGTCTCTGCTTGGGATTGCAATTCATTTATATTCTCTTATATTGCGAAAGACAGAAACCACATAGAATTCGTGAGAAGACTATACTCTTCCAACTGGTCACTCTATTATGGCATTACCATACCATACCACAATACACTAATTGAAGATCCTCCCATTCACACTTGCTTTGACTTCGACTTCGACCCGTTCGAACCGGCGGTGCGCCGATCCAGTTGGGAAAATTTTTTCATCTTTTTCCGTCTGGGTGACTAACAGTCTGTTACTAACAGACTGTCTTGGCTCCACATCTTATACTTTTGTCTGGTCCTTTTTTCCATCTATTAATTTATTATCTTCGGATCAAATGATCAATCTCGGCTTGTTCACAGGGACATTGAACAACCCTGAGAATAGACAATGGAGGGGGTCTCTCTAGCTTCTCCCCGCGGCAGCCTGTTAGGGTTAATCCAACATCACATCTCCCTCCAAACCCCGCACTGCAGGAGATACAATGATATGTCCGCGGAAGGAGATGTCATCATCCGCCTCGGCATCAACGTCTATCACGAGGTCACAGGTCACCGACTGTAGATCCTGTGCGCAACTTTTTCCATTGTTGAAGACAAAAGATCAACCTGACCAACACTCAGGCACTCTCACCCTCAAGGTCCATAAGTTCTAGACAACGGTCCAAGGCTGATGGGACCGACCAGGGGTCCCATGGGTCCGCCAACAGCCCCATTACCTAACCGCTTGCCCATTTCCATCGCTTATTGGAGCCTTTTGCCCCTCTTGCCGCTCCTAAGCGTCAACTGATGGATATTCGATTTACCATCGGACGATTGAGAAAGCCGGTCGGGGGAGAACAGTAAGGACTACGGAGTCTGAGCCGACCTCTTCGGCTCGGACTACTCTAACTTTTGACTTGCTGAGCTGATTGTGTCCTGTCCTGTCTGTCCCTGACTACCTGTCGGTGATTCCCGAGATCGGCCGAGACGTCGATCTGTAGCTGGATCTCGGTTGGGCTTGACCTCCGTAGACGTACCAGACAGTGGACAGTGGCTAGGGACACGGGGAAACATGCCGATGTCTCCTAAGCATGACACCAGTCCTCCGTAGTATCACGATCCTTCGGATCCACCCACATTCGAGGGCTCAGGGTCAAGGTGCGTGTGTGAGCGGCCGGAAAAGCCGCAGATGGGTCCGACTCACTACTAGTGAACTGCCTCATTGGGAGCGACTCTCGCGCCGGCAGGCTTGGTATGGTTCCTGACTAGTTGGGGTCACGACCATATGAGTCAGAGTAGACGAGACGAGTCGAGCGAATTTGACTCGCAGGGTACTAGCCAGAAGGTACCCTCGATCACGTCAACCCATCCCATCGTTAGTCGGTCAACGATCGAAACTACGGGGTCCCTCCGCCGGCGGAGGGCGCCGAGGGATTTTGTCGGGCGAATCGGCATTGCATGATTCTGATCATTCCACGTATCGTACTATGTAGGTTAATAGGAGGTTGTCTTTCCGAAGTTGTAATAAGGATAATAATAGTGTTGCGAATCATTCAGTGCCTAGTATACACTGGTGCTTGATTTGTTTCGTTGTCTATCACACCACCCAATCCACTATCCACTTCCACTTCCCGCAAAACAGGACCAGAACAGACATACAGAACCTCAAACAAAAAAACAAATAAATAATAAATAAATCAAACAGATTCGGCCCTCTCCGCGGGAAAGAAAGCTGTGGACGCCGCTCTCCGTCTGGAATCAAGTTCTGGAGCTGTCTGTGGAGGCGGGTGGACTTAACTAGTGTGGCCCTTGGTTGCTGGCCTTGGCATTAGCGTGGAAGAGATTTCACTTCTATATCTTGGCATTGACTCGTGATATACGAAGTGACTGTAGGATATACGGATACAAGGCTAGGTAATAAATTACGACCGAGTGGAACTGATGGACAATATTTCATACTCTCTCGTTGAGACTCAAGACTGTAGACTGCACTGTTGTACTTTGTAAGTGTTAGGGCTCCATACAGCGGCGGATCCAAGGTTGATTGACACTGTGGATTGCGAACAGTGGATATGAGTCAATTAAAACTCCGGATATGCTTGATTGGACGGCGTAACATTACTTGATTGGACTGACCGTCGGTGTTTGACCGTCTTCAAGTTCATGTCGCAGTGCTTGTAGATTCTATTCATGTATACAATTTTTCTTTACTACACTACTACGTCAATCGATATTATATGACTTGGTAGAGTAATTGTCTGACTATAGACTTGTAGTTGCATTGTGTACTCCGTATACTGATTATGAACACGGCACTAATATTGACATTGTATGGTGTGCACCTCCATGTGCAATCAGCACGTGATGATAAGGATAGTTATCGACAGCTTCAACTTCACATCCCCTTTCCATACCACCACCAGCTTGGATAGGCCATTCACCATGTCACCAACCACCCTCCTAAGCCTCGGCATCTCAATCTCCTTCGTCTTCGTCTTCTGGACCTTCTCCGCCACCACGTCGTCCCCCTTCGCGCGCAACTTCCCCCGCCTCTACAACAAGCGAATATGTCTACTGATCGCCCACCCCGATGACGAAGCCATGTTCTTCGCCCCGACGGTCCTGTCCCTCACGCGTCCGGCACTCGGCAACCATCTCAAGATACTGTGTCTCAGCAGTGGTATGTCCCATTTTTTCGAGCCAGTATGCGACGTCAAATTTCTAATAAATTACCCCAGGAAACGCCGACGGTCTCGGCGAAACCCGCAAAAAGGAGCTCGTCAGTAGCGCCCTACGCCTAGGCGTCCGCAGCGAATCAGACGTCTACGTCGTCGACGACCCCTCCCGCTTCCCAGATAGCATGACCGCCGAGTGGAGCGAATCCGACATCTCCAACCTCCTAACCTACGCCTTCACCCCGGAAAACAACTCCACCAGCACCACCAGCAATAAATCCCTCCGCAAACGATCCTCCAAAAACAGCAACGATCAAGACAACACCCCCCCCACCGCAACAATCGACGTCCTCCTCACCTTCGACACCCACGGCATAAGCAACCACCCCAACCACCGCTCGCTCTACCACGGCGCCGTGCACTTCGTCCGCTCGCTCATGAAGGGGAAAGATGGCTATACCTGCCCCGTCACCCTCTACACGCTGAGCACTACCAACCTCCTGCGGAAGTACATGGGCGTGCTCGACGCCCCGCTGAGTATGGCGAAGGGTGCGCTCTCCGCGCTGTTTGCGTCCAAGGATGGCTCGTCTGCGCCGGCGCGTTTGCTGTTCGTCTCTGATGTGCGCGAGTGGATGGCGGCGCAGGAGGCGATGGTTAAGGCCCATCGCAGCCAGATGGTCTGGTTCCGCTATGGGTGGATTACGCTGGGGAGGTATATGGTTGTTAATGATTTGAAGAGGGAGAGGGTATGATTTGTATTTTGTTAGTCTTTTTTGTAGGCTGTAGTATATATAATTTGGTATATATGTGCTTCTTCATACTAAGTACTTGTCTATGCCTTCGATTTGTAAGTTTATTCGGGTGTCATTTGGTATGGTTAATTGATATTAAGATGGATATTTTGTCTTTGTGGAACAAATATGCGTTATATATACTGCAATAGCTAAGGTAGGTTATTCCGTCATATGACTCCTTTTCTCATAATAAATATTGTGATATTTCAGACATACGAAACCACCTCGCGATATCTATAACATAATCCCACACCTCTACTCAACATATGTTGACTTTCAGTCTACAAAATGCAAATGCTAAAATCTTTATTTTCTATTGTCTTTGTCTTGTAACATTTTGTTTAGACTTGCGTGTGATACTGACGTAGGTGTATCGTGGTGAAAGGGTAGGACAGGACAGGACAAGGAAAGATGGGGTAAAAGATAATGGTAGTGGGTATAACTTCATGTCGTGATGTAGATAGATATTCGGGCTGGGTATTGAGAGAAGAAAAGATATGGGGGAGAAGACTTGTGTGGAAGGGAAGAGGAAGGAGAAAGGAAGAAAGAAAGTCTACCAGCCGGATCAGGCTATGGAGAATCCATCCGGTATGGTGGGATCCTCGTGGGGAGCTTCTTGTAGTTGCTGTTGAGGGTGTCTTTGAGGGTCCTGTTGAGGGTACCCTTGGGGATGACGCTGATGGTGCCGCTGGTGGTGTCGCTGAGTATGCGGTCGGGGTTGTTGGATATACTCTTGGTGATGTTGCTGCGAATACTCTGCAGAATGCTCGTGCAAAGCACCTGGCTCCATTGGCGCAAACCCCTCATACACCATCTCCCCCCCATGTAGCTCCGGCTCCCACGCAAGACCCTGAAACAGCCGCTGCAGCGGCGGGAGGTCACGTACGAGCTGTGGCAGCGACTCCTGCAGCTGGTCCCAGAAGTGACAGTCGTCGAGCTGTCCCCGGCCCTCATCCAGAGCGATCCCATTCTCGACCGTCGGCCGTCGAGTCGGCACATGCTTGTGCGCTGTCAGCCGGGCGTGTCCCCAGTGGATCTTGCCGTGCAGTGCGATTTGTCCGCCACGGGTGCTGTAGCTGAAGCTCTGGGGTACAAAATCGCGCCATTCCTCCAGCGCCTGTGGCAGAAGGTGTCGTTCCCAGACGGGGTTGTTCCGGCCTGTCCACCGGTTGTGGATGAGGAGGAGTTTGGCGAACCTTTCCATGAAGATCGTTTGCTGGGCGGTGCGCCAGCGGAGGATCTCGTATTCGTGGATTGCGTCGGCGTACTTTGCGGATTGGAGTAGTGCGGGGTTGATGCTGGATGGGAGGACGGGGGCCGCGCGAGAGGGTTTGTAGCCGAGACCGCGCTGGATGACCCGTCTCGCGCGGTGGAGGTCTCGACGGGTTTCTTGGAGTAGGTCGTAGGCTGCACGCATGTGGTGTTGGAAGTCCCGCAGGCGTGCCCGGTCCCAGGCGCATTTAGCGAGTACGTGATGCATTTCGATCGTGTAGCGGACGTTGAACGGTTCTGACGCCATCGTTTGGACCAGCACACCTAGGAAATCGTAGTTCACTTTACCCTTCCGGTCGCGTTTCGCGTCCGGGCCGAACCGTGGTCGCGAGAGCACAAACGATCGCTCCAGGAGCTCCAGCCAGACCTTCTCGGGAATGGGGATGTTGTACGAGCTGGCGATGAAGTTGACCGTGCGTAGGGCGGCGGCGATGTCGTTATTCGTGCCAAAGGCGTGGGCCACGGCAAACAGCAGCGCGCCCGACGGGTGAAGGGGCGACGATCGGTCATACTCCGTCACCGGCGGCACGAGGGACTCGTCGTTCTGGGCGAGGAGCTCATCCACATCCACGTTCCAGGCTGTCTTGAGCACGCTTTTGATGCCCTGCACATAGCCCACTCGACTAGCCGCCAGCAACACGTTAACCAAGGAGGCCTCGTCCGCTTGGTTCCCATTCGCGACCATCTCGTTGAAAATGCCCAGCACTTCCTTTCGCACGCTGCGACCGGCGGTCCCGTAGCCTTGGAAGCCTGGGTTGGGAGCATCCATCCTCCGCTTTCGATAGGCAAATGGGGTCACGCGCAGGTGGTACCTCTCGTGTCCCGCGTAGGCTCGGTCCCAGACCTTGGCCGCCATATAGTAATTGTAGCAGTGGACATCCGGGATCACCTCGTCCTCATGCATATTGGACCAGATGTTATCCGCCAGCTCCGCATCCCCAATCGACCGGGCGCAGTCCAGCAGATGCGTGTATTCCGCCAGACCCATGATGTGGCCGGCGGATTGCCGGATATGAACAATGGCGATCAGATTGTGGGCATAGGTCCCCAAGATCGAGCTGAGCGACCGGTATTTTTTGATCGCCACAGCTGTGGGGTGCAGTGGACGATGGATGTCCCGGTACGGCTCCACGAAATAGGCCGGCGATAGTAGGCGAAAGACCTCCACGAAAACACTCTGCGGCAACGACTGCACCAATTGTTCATATCGGGGATCCAAGAGAGCTTCCATTACCTGATCTGGTTGGGCATTCCGGATGGTTGTGTGGAATTCGTGGTGGAGCGCCTCGCTGGTGTGCCCGGTCGCTGAACCCGCCATGCCTGAGGCCTCCACGGTTGCACTCCATCCTGGCGTCGCCCACGGTCCATCCGGAGACGCACCAAGACCCGTCGGGTCCCTCGACTCCCACAACGAGGGAGACTTGGAGCTGAAGTATGCATTCGAAGGGCTCCGTCGCGAGAGTTGAAGGAGGAATGGTCGCGTGGGACCTGTTCGGGAGGACCACCCTGAAGTGGAGCCCGGACCACTCCAGCGAGGAATGGACCAGTGAGGGCCCAGAAGGCTCTCACATCGACCCCGTACCAAGCTCCGCATCGAGTATGTATCCAGGAAACGAGGTAATCAACAGGGTAAAAAGGATGAATGAGATGGAGAAGAAGGAGGAGAGAAAGAGGACAGAGAGACCTCTGCAGTCAAAACCCCCTCTTCGGCCCCTGGTGCCTCACGAGTGACCAGGATTATCTGCATCCCACAGTCACTCCGGCCTGATTTCCCCATATTGAGAGTCTGAGCGTCTGCGGGGGTGGCCTTGGCACGGCCCAATTGGGTTTAGCGGGCCCATCCCTCCCGTCATCATAATTTGTGCATAGCTGACTCAGGAAGGTGGGATAATGGCCAGAATTGTCAGGCATAAAGTGAATTTGCGACCGCTTTTGGGTTGGCGGAGCTTCATCTGGCAGTTCTTCTCTATCTCCGTCCACCAATTCCCCCTCACTCCCCTCTCCCCCATTTCTCACTCTTTTTTTTCTTTCTTTCAAAATGGCCGACACCGAGGATACGGGCGCATCGTCTGTCTCGGAGCCGTTAGATCTGGTGCGCCTTTCGTTGGACGAAATCGTCTTTGTCAAGCTGCGTGGGGATCGCGAGTTGAAGGGTCGACTGCATGTGAGTGACCAGCTAGGAGCTGAATGATCATACACATACATACACGCATACATATATATGGAGACTGACAGTGATACTAGGCATACGATAGCCACTGCAACCTAGTTCTCGGCGAAGTCGAGGAGACGATCTACGTGGTGGAGGAGGATGAGAATGACGAGGAGACAATCCGAGTATGCGATCCTATTCAGTACAGACAGAACATTTGGAGTCCGGCGTCCACTGACTCGGAATACATAGACAATCAAGAAACAGGAAGAGATGCTTTTCGTTCGAGGTACGTCACCAACGTGGTATTCCATTCGACAGTGAAGGCTAATGGGCTGCCTCCCGTCAACAGGAGACTCGGTCGTCTTAATCTCCCCCCAAGCATGATTTCGAGCGAAACAAGGCGTTACTGTTGCGAAGGAGCCAGGAGATTTTATGAGGATAACTGCAGGATGTGCAGTACCGTTGGATCATGAATGCGACCACGACATAAATCGGAGAGGGTTTCGGATAATCAAACGCTTGCGCCATTCTGTGTATTCCTATTTCCTTCTTGATTCCCACAGAGTTCTATCCCCAATGAATGGTTTCTGGGGATGTATTGAGCGGATGGTATGGCACCGGGGGTACACATGGGTACACATGGACGATTAGACCACACCGGGAAAGGGGGAATATTTCACGAAAAAAAAATATATAATTGCATACTAGGAGTCATGCCATGCCTCACCTTGTAGCCACCTCCTCACTGTACCATGAGTTTCTTCTGGGTTCCTTGTCAGCCTCGCCAAGCAGTTGAGTTATGACACAGCGTGGCTGGACATGTTTAATAGTGGATATGAATGACTCAAGGCATATGACTGGACTGCCTATCGATAACACGCCCCGACTTCCTTAAGAGCCGCACCTACTCCGGCTTGACCCCGACTTAATTTGATTCATCTTCTCCTCTTGTCTTCACTTTCTTCCTTCGAATATCTTCTTGATACAATATCCGTCATGACTTTTATTTGATAACGCAAATGTCGTAACGACGACCGTGTCTCCTTTACCCCGCATAGTGGAACTATGATCACACGAATACACATCTGAATGCGCCGGGGGCGACTTACCACTATTCAACCGACTGAGTTGTCTGTACGATACTTCACCGACGACATCACAGTGTCTTTATATACATAGCACCTTTCATTGAATAACATCTCAAACCCATACCGATGCGCAGACAAAAGCCCTCGGTGGAGGAGCGGCGACGAGGCGAAGTGGTATGTGACACGTCTCCCATTCCACCCCAACTCCCTCTACCTGTCAGTGTACTGACATCCGTCTAGGCGCTGAGCGAATTTGCTGAGTACGCCGAGCAACAACAATCGCATCGTGCCGCCGTGGTTCCTCCCAGCGACAGCGGGTACTCCACGGGGGGCCCCTCCAAAACCCACGACACCGAGACGGAGGACCATGCGGAGCTGGAGATCCTCGACCAGCTGAGCCTGTCCGATGCTCCCAAGACTGTCAAGTTGAAAGAGCTGTTGCTAGGGACGGGCGACGGGGGCGATGAGAGCTTGCAACAATTCGCCGGCTTTCTGCAGGCCCGCATCGATGAGGGGCACGGCGAGACAATCTTCGACCTCGGGCTCGAGGACGGAGGTGAGTCGATGGGGTTCGACAATGCGCAGTGGGAGACCGCCGTCCGCCGACTACGCGAAACGGCGGATACCCTTCCAGCGCATTGCCGCATCCTCATGACGTACAACGTCGGAGGTCCGCAGGAGTCTCCGACGAAAAAGGACGATCGCTCGAAAGACGCTTGGGGCAAGGTCCTGATTCGTCAGCCGGCGGACACCGTCGAGGAGATGGCCGAGATCCGCGTGGCGGTGGTGGGGAATGTGGACGCCGGGAAGAGCACCATGTTGGGCGTCTTGGTGAAGGGGAACCTGGACGACGGCCGTGGCAGGGCGCGGGTCAACCTGTTCCGTCACCAGCATGAGATCGAGAGCGGGCGGACCAGTTCTGTCGGGATGGAGATCATGGGGTTTGACAGCCACGGAGAGATCGTCAGCAGCGCCCACGGCCGGAAGGTCTCGTGGGAGGAGGTCGGGCGGCGATCGGCCAAGGTAATCTCCTTCTCTGACCTCGCGGGCCACGAGAAGTACCTGCGGACCACGGTGTTTGGGATGCTTAGCAGTAGCCCTAACTACTGTCTCCTGATGGTGGCGGCGAACAACGGACTGGTCGGGATGAGCAAAGAGCACCTGGGGATCGCGTTGGCGTTGAACGTGCCCGTCATGGTCATCGTCACCAAGATTGACATCTGCCCGCCGCAAGTACTCCAGGAGACCCTCTCCCAACTGACCAAGATCCTCAAGTCCCCTGGGGCGCGGAAGATCCCCATCATGGTCAAAGACATGGAAGAGACCATCAACACCGCGGGCCAATTCGTCAGCCAGCGCATCTGTCCCATCTTCCAAGTATCCAACGTGACGGGGGAGAACCTGGACCTGGTGCGCACGTTCTTGAACATCCTGCCGCACCGCGGCCACTACAACGACGAGGCTCCCTTTGAGTTCCTCGTCAACGACACCTTTTCGGTGCCGCACGTGGGGACCGTGGTGTCTGGCGTGGCCAAGTCGGGCGTCATCCACGCGGGGGACACCGTGCTGGTCGGGCCCGACTCCCTCGGCCAGTTCACCACCACTACCATTAAGTCCATCGAGCGCAAGCGGATACCTGTCAATACCTGCCACGCGGGCCAGTCCGGGTCTTTCGCGCTGAAGCGCGTCCGACGGAAGGAGGTGCGCAAAGGGATGGTGGTTCTCAAAAAGCTGGACCAGCCCCCGAAGGTCTACCGAGAGTTTATTGCGGAGGGTTTGTCTTCTCCTCTTTACTAGATATCCTTTGCAACTGTTAACTTCTCCTTCCAGTGCTTATTCTCTCCCACGCAACGACCATCAAGCCTCGCTATCAAGCAATGCTCCACGTAGGAGCGGTCAGCCAGACCTGCTCCGTCATCGATATCGACCGCCCGTTTATCCGCACCGGGGACCGCGCCGTGGTTGCGTTCCGGTTTGTCCAGCGACCCGAGTTCCTCGCCCCCGGAGACCGGGTGCTCTTCCGGGAGGGCAAGACCAAGGGTCTGGGGATTGTGAAGAGTGTGGGGTATGACCCCAACCAGCCTCTCAACGTGGAGGCCAAACAGGCGTATGAAAGCAAAAATCGCTGAGTTGCAAGCTTGAGCCTGCGACCGTTTTTACTTTTTACTTTTTACTTTTTATCTTTTTTTTTTCTTATATGTGCGTTAGCTTATTGTATTGTGTTTTGTTTTGTCTATTTGGCGGAGCTTGGTCCTAAGTTTACGCCAAGTGTTTGTTTATCACTCCATACATTATGGGATAGGTCTCGTTTTATCTTGATATTGAACTTCTGCTGTACAGAATACTGTCTAGTCACGCTATAAGTATAGGAAACGACAGTACTAAGATGAAATCTTATATATTCCCCTTGCTCGCAGCCATCGAGGCCTCTTGTCGGAGAGTCCTAGGACATGAAAAGAATGACATGCACCTGAGGTGCTGATCCAACGAGTGTTGTTGGGTTTCTTTTGAGCGACTTTTTGACTGTAGTATTCATAATTGTTGCTTTTTCCTGAAGCAGGGGTGGCATTTACTCGGATGATATGGAAGTATTTGACCCGAGCAATAAGTTCTCAGTCGCCACACCAACGATGTTGACCAGCACTTGGTATAGGGCTCGACCTGACTGATATCCCCAGTAAGCAATAAGTTTGTCAACCACTTTGTTCCGGAAAGCAACTCGAGACCCAATGGCTGCGAGGATTAGCGCTGATATTGCCGTGTCTCAACCAACAGTGTAATACTTCCTTACCCACAGACTCAGAGATACATGCTGGAGGATAGCCGGAATTAGGAGAATCTGCAGGCTGGCATTAGCAATGGAAAATCAACACCAAGAGAAGCTCACTATAGCCAAGATGGAGGTAGAGACATCGAATGCGAGTATTTAAACATTCTCTCAGATTGATCATCTCATCTTGGCCGCTGCATCAAAAATGCTGACCAGCGCTTCGAGTGGGCTTGACTTGACTGGTATCCCCAGCACATCAAGATGCGAAATGAAAGATCCAGAGATGCAGCATGACGCTATTAGATCATCCAGCACGTCTCGTCAGGAGAAATCTCGAACGAAGACCTTTCAATCCAAGAGATTCAAGATGAGGGGTTGGAGGGCGAAGTGAGAGAGACAAAAGGTAGATGGTTCTTCGGCTGCTCTGTCACTTGACTCTTACTATCTCAGTGACCTCATTCCATACAGGTGAATCAAGGTCAATAAGACTCCCCTGGATCATGGATATATGACCCAACTGGGGCCCTCCTGTCAGCTCGTGTCACTCTGCACGATGGCTTATTCTCCCCGTTGGTGATGCTTTTAGCTTGAGCTCCGCCCTTAGATGACAGATACTTTCGTGAACCAAAACTGAAGCCTGAGAAACTAGAGCCTCTAGCTCTTCTCTAGGCTGAAACTTACAGTCATCCCGATTGATTTAGTGCATATTTACGGTTGATGCCTCGCTTCGGCGCACAGATCTGCCAGCAAGGCAGACAGTACCCAGCCATTTGGAGAGATGAATAACATTCTAAGAACAGCATTGCCAGCCGGCAGGTGTTACAGGAGACATACGATGTGGCGCGGTATGCTACAATCCGAGCGTGAGTTTAGGCTTGTGGTCTGAACACCTGGAGCGCAGGTTGGTAGGCCCAGATACTGACTACCCGGGTAGTGATATTAAACACTGAATTTAGAAAACATAACATAACCACAACAGGGGATTTACGAATCACCAGTCTTCGATTTCCTTCCACCATCATTGAGTCCATTCTCAGTAGAACAACTCGCGAATGATCCTCTACCGTCAGCTACTATGCGACACGTGACCAGCTGGTGACGTCCGATGACGTCAGAGGCCGTGGTTGATGACATCAAGGTGTGGAACAAAGTCAATGGCTTCGATTACAAGGAATCCGGACATTGACGTATCTGGAGCAGAATTGTGGGTTGTTGGGTTCTTATAAGAAGAGCAGCGATCTTGACTGAACAATGACTTTCAGTATTACTGTTGTTGTTACTACTCAAGCAACTACTCAAACTACTTGACCAACTTTGATTCATACATACATACATACACCCCTACATACTTTGGAAAGTCTTTATTGGAAAATGGAGACAGCAAACAAGATCTGGCACACTGCTGCTGATACATTTCGAGACGACCCTCACACGCTCGACAACCGTGGTACCCTGGACAGTGCCAAACAGGAGCAGCATCGTCAGCAGCATGGTGAGGAGCCCATTTCTGGCGTTCCGGGTCGAGGAACCGTGACGGATCCTTATGATGCTGGTAATCGCGACGGTATGTCTCTTTTACTTCTCTCCTCACATCCTCTCCCAAAAAGAGAGTAAATCAACTAACCAACCCAGACCAACCCGGCGCAGTTAAAGGCCAAGAAGCCACCGTGCCCGTCCACGAAGCCCAGACCTCTCTCCCATCATCCCACTTGCAACCCGCCTACGAAAGCAAAAAGACGACTCTCCCCGACCGCTCAACAACCGGATCCAGCACCATGGGTGCTGCCGGTGCTGGTGCTCACTCTGGCACCTTCACCAAAGGCGGAGTCGACTCCTCTGGTGGTATCTGGGTGCCGGGCGAGCCGGACTTTGAGCAGAGGGATGCGAACTTGGGGCTGAGTGGGTACGGCCGGGATGCTCCTGAGCCGCGCACTGGCACGCAGACGAGTAAGGCTGCGTCGCTTGGTGATACTGATGTGCGTGCTTCTGGGGGCCCTCTGGGCACTTCTGCTGGTGGTATTGGAGCTACTGGCGCGACTCGTAGTGGGAGTGCCAATGCTGGGTATGTGGAGCCGGCGTCTACACCGGCGACATCTTCCGCGACATCGACTTCTGGTCTTCCTAGTGGTGGCGGTATCCAGGACACCGATGTGAGGGGCAGTGCTGGCCGGTCTGCGGAGCCGGTGTCTCCGTCTGCGGCGCGTTCCACAGCGTCGACTTTTAGTCCTCCTCCCCGTGGCAGTGGTGGTGGTGATGCCTTTGCCAATGCCGGTATGCCTGCGAAGGAAGAGGAGGAGGAAACGCTAGGAAGCAGGAGCGTCAGCGCAAAGGAGGAACCATCTGTGCTGCGAATGCCGTCTAGTATTTCGGATGAGAGACGCAGCCAGCTTCACGCGGCGAACGCGAACACCAAGGACGTTGACCCTGATGTGTTGAGGGGCCCTTCGGTCTCCGGCATCAATGAGCAGACCAAGATCCGCTTTGAGAAAGAGGCGGAGAAGGCCGCTAAAGAGGACTCTGGTACTTCGCCTGCTAACATTCCTCTGGCTTCGGGGCCGGGGACTAGGGAGCGCTCGACCATGCCGACTGCCGGCGAGTCTGAGAGAGCCACGGAGGAGGAACAGAAGAAGACTTCGTCCAAGGGTGAGTCCGGACTGCAGCAGCAGCAGCAGCAGCAAGACCAGAGTACCTCTGCTGGAAGGGCGCAGTCCGGCCACCAGGTTCTGGACAAGTCCGAGCAGTCCGAAATGAGAACCAGCACGACGGGACAGTCAGGCACCAGCGGTCGTCAAGCCAGCCAGGCCGTGCAGGACGCTGAACAACGCGACTCGTCTGGCGGTGGCGCCGCCGGCACCGGAAAGCCAGGCGTGCAGCAAGGCGTGAGCAAAGAAGCTCTCCAGGGTCCTCAAGGGCCGCCCCCGAAGGAGTACGAGTTCGAGAAGGAGTTGACCTCAGGGCAAGGAGGCAAGGGAGGGTCGAAGACTGGTTAGTGTTGTCATTCCCTGGCTACGAAAGATAAGAATAACTGACTCTCGCAGCCAATCTCCCCGACAGCAAGGGCACTGGAACTGGCCAGAAAGCCCAACAGGCGAAGCAGGAGGTGCAGCAGGCTGACCAGACGGCTCAGAACGGGACCAAGGCGCATATGAAGGAGAAGCTTGGGAAGGTGCTGCATCATAAATAAGCCAGCTTTCGGACTTGTTGAATCACAGACGGACGTCTGATGGCTAATTTTGCTCATTATAATGGAAGTGGATGGCTTGGCTTCGGAGGGAAATCCACTTGATATAATGTATTGTTTTAATGTGTACATGACGCGATTTGATTGATTAATGAATATTTTGACCACTATTTGTGATTTTGACGTAAACCAGGGTCACTGAGCCAAAAGATGCCTGTAATAGTAGAGTTAATATATTCCAGACTTGTCTGTTGTAGTTGAGTATCAAGTACACTAGATAAGACTGCAAGATGAAGGCAAAGAAACAGACCCGTAAACACCACAACGCCGCCCCCAAGCCCATGTAACACAGGAACAAAAAAGGAACACGCTATAAATCAGCTGCAACATCCATCCGCTTCCTCGTTTTCATCTTAATCTGCAGTGGAACTAGATTCCTCTTGGTGCCCGGGGTATCCGCACGGGTCAGCGGTTTCCGGCAGACCGGACAAGTGCCGCGACTCTTGCCCGATGCATCTGTACGTCGCTCTTCGCCAAACTTCAAAGTATCCATGATGCACTGGTGACAGAAGAGATGGCCTTTGCAATCCGAAGTCAGCATGGTTATCGAATCTTACTAGGTAGATCTGGTCCCGCGACAACATACCGCATACTGTACTGGTGGCGTCGACGGGAGTATCCATGCACACGGGACATTTGTACGCCCTCAACGCTGTTCCTCTTTCCCTAGACTCGTGCTCTGCCGCCCGCTGCGCCATGACTGCGTCCTCACGCTGTTTGGCGAGAGCTTTGGCCAGTGCGGAGGATTCATCGCCTGCGGTGAGGTCGATCGATTCCTCGACTTCTGGCTCTGGCGTCGGGTCATCGAGGGGAAGACTCTGTGGCGATATGGGAGACGAGGCTGTTGCCGAAGCGGTGGATCGGGTAACACGGCGACGCTTGGAGGTGTGAGAAGTGTTCGGATCATGATTGTCTGGAGATGAGCTGCTCGATGACCGCCGGCGCGGACGAGCGTGAGCTGAACGGCTGGAGGTTGGGCGCGGGGGTGAACGGAGTTGATCCATCACGGTGATGTTTATAGTTAGCTTCAAGTGTAGCGATCAGGCATTGGACTCCAATGCAGCGGAATGAAGCGTTGTAATCGCTGAGAGCCAGGGAATCAAACCGGCCGGAGCAACTGGTAGAGAGCAATGAAGCTTCTCGTGTCTTTTATTCTCATTCATTGATCAATATGGGTGGCTGCACTTATCGATAAGAAAGGCGATTAACAGGACTAGAACGGCAGGCGGTGAGACAGCATAAAATACTCCGGATCATCTGCTCTTCCGGGCTCCGCTGCATGACGGCGAGATCGATCCCTTCTTGGTAAAGCTTCACTTCTCTCTTATAGTCGCATGTCCCTCCTTCCCTCACGCGCTGATAAAGATCTACGTGCATACATATACGTATAGACGGAAGACAATTCTATCACGCCAAGTTTGCAGCATTCTAGCTGCGGTGTGGTCGTACCATGGGCCCGTGGCTCTAATCTTTCTGTCATAACATGCCGTGGAGTCTTTCATGCACTCCCTATACTAGGGGTGTGGCACGCTCATGCTCACGGAGCTTGCGCCTACCGCTTACTTTCAAACCCCGGGTGTCTATCCACCTCGCGCGACACTATGTGACACCAGCGACGGGAAGCGCGAATGGCGAGGCGCGCAAGAAATCCCTATCCCGTAAGCGCGAACCCGTCTTCTCTTTGATGGCGAATGCTCATAAATTAATGAATACAGTCCCTGCATCTGCCAGGTTCAACGAAATAGGCGTCCAGCAATTAAGCGATCATGTTTATTCCCAAGTTTTCCCCAATAAAGCGAACCCCCCCGATCCCGACCTTGTCGCCCTATCGAAGGACCATCTCTCCAGACACGACCTGCTCGGGAAATCCCAAGATGGCGCAGAGCCCGTCGCGTTCGATATGCCCGCCCTACATGGTCAGACGCTGGACGAGCACTTCTTCAAGCTGGGAATGGACTCGTCCGAACCGTATCTGACCTATGCGAAGGAATACACGACGGTGAATTCGCCGGAAAAGCCGCGCCAGTGGATCAAGCGGAGCGGGTGGACCAAATACAACAGCGATGGGTCGTGGGAGGCGGTTGACGCCCCCAACGAGTCCATGCTAACGTTCGACACGGAAGTCATGTGGAAAGAGCATTCGTTTGCCGTCATGGCTTGTGCGGCGAGTCCCACCGCTTGGTATGCGTGGTTGTCCCCGTGGCTCTTGGGAGAATCTGAGAAGGAGATTCAGCTTATACCGCTGGGGGATCCATCGCAATCACGGATCGTGGTCGGTCATAATATCGGGTACGACCGCGCTCGCGTCCTGGAGGAGTACGACATGGCGCAGAGCCGAAACTTCTTCTTGGATACCATGTCGCTTCATGTTGCGGTCAACGGCATGTGCTCACAGCAGCGGCCGACGTGGATGCGCCACAAGAAAAATAAAGACCTCAGAGATAAACTGTCGAACGAGAGCAACGCGGTCGAACTTGCCGCTTTGCTGGAGAGCAAGATGCTGAGCGACGAAGAGGAGGAACTGTGGGTGGGAAGAAGCTCAGTGAACTCTCTCCGGGATGTGGCCAAATTTCATTGCGACGTCACGATTGATAAAGCGCAACGGGACCACTTTGGGGAACTGGACAGGGAGCAGATTCTGGGGAAGCTCGAAGAATTGCTCGACTACTGCGCAGCCGATGTCGCCATCACACACCGTGTTTACAAGAAGGTCTTCCCCAATTACCTTCGGGTCTGTCCCCATCCTGTGAGCTTTGGGGCCCTGAGGCACTTGTCCTCCGTTATCCTCCCCGTCAACCAGACGTGGCAGGAGTATCTCACGAACACAGAGGCAACCTACCATCGACGACTGGAAGACGTACAGCGGAAACTGGTGGAGCTGTGCGACGAGGCTTTAAAGGTCAAGGATACAGCGGACGTGTATTCGAATGATCCCTGGCTGCGGCAGCTGGACTGGTCCGGCCAGGAGGTCAAGATGGCCAAAGGCAAGAAAAAGGGCGACCCCCCACGACCGGCCGCCCGACAGAAGAAGCCTGGTATGCCAAAGTGGTACAAGGACCTCTTCGCGACAAATACTGCCGACATAAACCTGACCGTGCGGACCCGGATTGCCCCGATCCTGCTTAAACTCTCCTGGGATGGATATCCGCTGACCTGGTCTGACAAATTCGGCTGGACCTTCAAGGTCCCGCGGGATCAGGTCCGGCAGTTTGAGAACCAGCCTGTGGTGCTGTGCGACATGGCGGAAGAAAGGAACGAAGAGCTGCGGAATGACCGGCGACACGCCTACTTCAAGCTCCCACACAAGGACGGACCCCAAGCTCGATGTGTCAACCCGCTTGCTAAAGGTTATATGCAATACTTTGAACGTGGAACCCTGACCTCCAGGTTTGCCCTAGCCAAGGAAGCCCTGGAAATGAACGCCTCCTGCTCGTATTGGATCAGCGCCCGAGACCGGATCATGGGTCAGATGGTGGTGTACGAGGACGAGATCCGAAATCCCTCGTCGAAGAAAGAAACAGGCCACCGGACAGGCTTCATTCTCCCGCAGGTCATTCCCATGGGAACCATCACTCGACGTGCAGTGGAGAATACGTGGCTCACGGCGAGCAACGCCAAGGAGAACCGGGTTGGGTCGGAGCTCAAGGCTATGGTCAAAGCACCCCCGGGGTACTCCTTCGTGGGGGCCGACGTTGACTCCCAGGAGCTGTGGATCGCCAGTCTCATCGGTGACGCTCAGTTCCAAATCCACGGCGGGAACGCGATTGGGTTCATGACCTTGGAAGGATCCAAGGCGGCTGGGACTGACATGCATTCCCGCACCGCTCAGATCTTGGGCATCTCCCGCAACGATGCGAAGGTGTTCAACTACGGGCGTATCTATGGTGCAGGAGTCAAATTCGCAGCCACCTTACTCCGCCAGTTCAACCCGTCTCTGACGGAGCAACAGACCCAGGCGGTTGCCAGCAAACTCTACAAAGAAACCAAGGGCACCCGCACCACCCGCCGCATACTGAACGAGGGGCCCTTCTGGCGTGGAGGGACCGAATCATTCGTATTCAACAAGCTTGAGGAGTTCGCCGACCAAGAACGGCCAAAGACGCCGGCATTGGGTGCTGGAATCACCGAAGCCTTGATGCGACGCTTCATCAACCGAGGAAGCTTCATGACATCGCGGATCAACTGGGCCATCCAGTCCTCCGGCGTCGATTATCTTCACCTCCTTATCGTGGCGATGGACTATCTCATCCGGCGATTCAACGTCGGTGCCCGTCTCGCCATCACCGTCCACGACGAGATCCGGTACCTTGTGAAGGACGAGGACAAGTACCGAGCGGCGTTGGCCCTGCAGGTGGCGAACGTGTGGACCCGCGCCATGTTCTCGCAACAGGTTGGCATCAACGATCTCCCGCAATCTTGCGCGTACTTCTCCGCCGTCGACATTGACCACGTCCTGCGAAAGGAGGTGGACATGGACTGCATCACCCCCTCGCACCCGCACAAGATCCCGCACGGCGAATCCCTCGACATCAACCAGATTCTCGACAAGAACGACCAGGCACTCCTCGACCCGTCTATCACGCCGACTCTACCCCCCACTCCCGACAAACACCCCTACACCCCCCGCGAATCCGTCATGTCCACCCTGCAGAGCACCAGCAACCCGGCCTTCATCCGCGCTCAAATCACCAAAGACGACGCAGAACTCCGAGATATCATCAAAGAAGCCACCAAAGCCAAGTCCGCGGATCCGCAGGCGCCCAAAGCCCGCGCCCGCCCATACCGACGGCCCCAGGCCGAAGCCCAGAAAGCCGTCCTGGTGGACCTAGAATCGAGCCTTTACCACCGTGATTTCCGCAACGTTCCTCAGGGGAGCCGGCCTCCCCAGGTCAATAATTTCTCCAACCGTCAGTCATGGAAACCGCGGTCGTCGGCACGGGCATGATCTCCACTACCGTCTTCATTCTTCATTTCTTCCATTCTTCGATTGTACATATATGTTGTGCCATGTTCTCTTCTCGTCTCTCCTTACTCTTGACCCTTGGTTTTTTTACCTTTTGTCTTGTTCTACCCTTTTCTTTTCTTTTCTTTTCTACCTTTCTGTATGATCTACCGATGATGACCGAGAAAAGCATGGGATGGCGTATAGCAGTGCGGGTGGAGTTGTTTTTTACTATGTGACTGATCTTTTTTCTTCCTGGTTCGGGGTGTGTGAGGGGGCATATGACTATGTTGCAGTAATGTACATAGCTTTTTATGGCCTTGGAATAGTATATCTAGATTTTTTTTTTTTTTTTTTTGCTTTACTTCAACCACTCCACATTTTAAATCTAGACGATCAGTGTTATATATTTTGAGCAACACATCTTCGATATGCATCCAGCACATCACATAATTATTGCTCATTGTTAAAAAACAAGACCACTAGACTCCAGTGCCATCGAAGGAAGAGGGTGTATAGTGTACATCAAAGGATCAAGACCGACAACAGCAGAACTGGGCAAAATAAAGAATCCTAATAACTACCGTGCCACATGGGGAGTATCATTCATTGCCTGAGGAACCTAACTATCTGGTGCTCTATTGTTTACTCGTCGATGATGGGAATCCGGCCAAAAACAACCAATCACAGCATGTTAGCTCAGGGGAAGAGCGCCGGGCTCATAACCCGGAGGACCCTGGATCGAAACCAGGACATGCTATTCTTTTTTTTCTCTTTTTGTTATGATTATTTTTGGTACTACTATATACTACTCCTAGGTTTAATCAAAGAATATTTACGAAGTCTCAATTAATATAGTTTCTCTACCACATTATACGTTGGACGACAGACAAGGGGCTATTTGGTATACCAACCCCGTTGATCGGCTTGGCGGTTGTGGTATCCAGCTAGGGCGAGGGATCGGGGGCAAGAAGCTGCATTAATCCTCATAGTAAAGTCGGTACCAGTGACGTCGTTAGGCTAATCACGAAACATGTCGTTTCCGCCCCGGCTCCAAGGTATTCCGTCGGCTCAAACCGCCATTGCCATCTGCTCCACGTAGCATGGCGTCGCCTTTCTTGCCCAGCACGACTTCTAGCGCCTGGATCAGCGCATTCGCGTCGTATT